GAGGGATCAGTTCAGAATTCCCTCTTATTCTCTTGGCTAGAGCACTACCAAAACCTGCCAGCTGGACCAGAAAAACATAGCTTTCAGAGTAAGGCAACATATGGATAATACGTGTCTATTTTTACCATACCTGCTTCTCAAAGCTGCCATCCCTCTTCTAGCTAAGAGTTCAAGTCAGACTTGAACTCCTAAGAGCCAAGAAATGCCAAAGTAATTACCAGCAATGCTGGCTGCTTGTGTTGTTATAAAAATCACAGGCTTTGTGATATCAGTGAAGGATAGAGATTCAGCTAGCAAATTAATCTTGCAGCCTGAGTTATTTTTAACTACTGGAATCTCATGGCTTGCTACCTTCTTTAAAATTTAATGTCTTTTGTGTTTGTGTGATGAAACTTGCAGTTTTGGGGAACAGAACAGTGTCATGAGGATGATAAGGGCAGCATTGGATGCATACACTGCAGCAGTGTTTATTGTTTTAACAGTTCAAGAAGGCATGCTGTGTCTGGTGGCTTTGTTCTCATCTGTGGGTCAGAAGCTGTGCACTGAATTGTGACTTTGTGTACTTTGTGTCTGAGCTTGATCCTAATATCAGGAAACACAAGCTAGTGTTGCAGTGAATGCAAACTCTTTTATTATGTGGAAATTAAACATCAATTGATGTGGAGCCACAAAGAAGCGCGGGAGGACACAGTGCTGCTTTTGTGCATTCACTGTATCCTCATGTGTGTGTCCCGTAAGGATTCAGCGGAGATTCTACATGTGGTCCAAAATCTGGCATTTTGTAGCTTTGGCAGGTTGTATTTTCTTAATGTAAATTAAATTAAAAAAAAAAAGAAACTAAACCCACAACCATCTGCTACAAGAACTTGTGTTTCTGAACTCTGGACAAGTAATGCTGAAAAAATCTGGATCACTTGCACAACTTCTCAATGTTTTTCTTAGTGTTGCTAGAAGTAATCATGTGGACTCCTCAGTCAACTGTTCACTAGGAAATAGAAGCTGCTATTAGTCTCATCTTAGTGAGATAGTTAAGTTGCCCTTGCAGAGGAAAAAGGCCTATAAATAAACAAATTATTTTTCTTCCTCTGATCTGGGCTAATTCTGACCTCATGATGTTCTGATACTGAGCCTGATGCATTTTTCCTTAGGCTAAAGGATTAAAAGTCTCTCTTAGGCATCTGATCCATTTGGCTGCTTCTGGGAATGAGTGAAGGTTGCAGCAAATGCACAATATCTCAGAAACCTTAAGCTGCAGTGATAAGCTCTTCTGCAGATCACAGGTTTTGGTGGCTAGCAACTTTTCCAAGTCTAGACAGATTTCCATAGAAACAGGAAAAAATCTGTATGTGAAATTCTGATCTTACTGTAATAATAATTTTTCTACCCTTCATATATGAAGTATTTGGGGTTTGTGGTAATAAGTTGGAAATACTTATTAGGAACATAGCTTATCTCAGCTCCTCTGTTCTCTCTCTCAAAAGCAACAGGAACATTTCAAAAACTGTTGAAAGGTGGAGTTTGATCGTACACTCTGTACATCTCTCTAATTTAGTTTGAATGTTCTGAAATAAAACACTAAATAAAAGCAATAACTTTGAGTAATGTGTTAGAATAAATGTACATGGGCAAGTGTAAGCTGGTGGCTTCAGCTGGAAAGGCTTAAGAAATCATCTCTTTTCAGCTGGAGATCGCTGCCTGCCTAACCGAGAGCCAGGACAGATTCATCAAGGCAAAATCATGCTTGACCAACCTCTTAGTGATGTCATTGTAGCAGTCTGACTTGGTAGATAAGGGGAAAACAGTGGATATTGCCTGTCTTGACCTCAGTAAGGCTTTTGACGTTGTCTCCTGTAATATCCTTGTAGAGAATCTATTAGCTAGGGGCTGGATAAGTAGAGCTTGAGGTGGATTGAAAACTGGCTGAATGGCTCCACCCAGAGTGAGGTGGTCAGTGGCACAAAGCCCAGTTGGAGGCCAGTAACTGGAAATGTAACCCAAGGGGCAGTACTGGGTCCAGTCCTGTTTAACATCTTCATTACTTATCTGGATGGTAGTCCAGAGTATATCCTCAGCAAGTTTGCTGATGACACAAAAGTTGGAGGAGTGCCTGATAGGCCAGATGGTCACAGTGCCGTCCAGAGGGACATGGACAGGCTGGAAAAATGGGCTGACAGGAACCTCATAAAGTTTAGCAAGTGGAAGTGCACATGAGGAAGAACAACTCCATGGGGACATCCCAGCTGTAAAATACATTTGTAGAAAGGGACCTAGGGGTCCTGATGGACACCAGGTTGACCATAAGCCAGCACTGTGCCCTTGCTGCAAAGAAGGCAATTCTTGGAGATACTGGCTCTGTCTGGACATGGTCTTTTGGGAGCCAGGTCCAGGTTGCCCCATTTGAGCTGGGGGTAGACAAGGTGACAAGGTAGACGAAGTCCCTTCCAACCTCAACCATTCTGTAGATTGATTGTCCATCGTGCATTTCAGTGCGAAATTAAACAATTTCATTTGTATCACCTTTACAGTGAAATCGAAAGGTGAGGTCCCATGTTGTGGGGCCTTCAGGACTGACTCTTCCCCTCCTGTGCATAAATGCTCATTTCTGTTCAGTTGCCGATGATACTATTCCTGGACACTGCCAAGGGCTCAGCCATTTCAATGGCCACATTCAGAATGGGATATTTAGAATGTCTTGGCTTAAAAAAAAGAAAAAACTTGTGGTCTTTTTTTTTTCTGTTACAGAAACAGATAACTTTATAGTTGGTGGAAGGACAGAATAACAATTGGGGAATATAAGAGAGCAAAAATGTCCCCACTGCTGAAGATTTTGTATCATAGAAGTAGTACCTGGAAGTGTCCAGACAACCTTTTGCTCTTTCTAAGGTGAAGCCTTACTAAATTAGTTCAAATCGCTACAGAGAAGCACAGCTATATGTATTCCATCAGGAACTGCTTCCTGAGGGAACATCTAATTGCATATATTAAAATACTATCATACAAGGAAGAGTATAGTGTCATGTGTTTCTTTTTTTTTTTCTTTTGGTGACAGTTATTTTTTGTGATCAGAAATAATTTTTCTCATTGTGCAGCATAGGAATAAACTGGGAGACCAACATACTCTGCAGTAAGGCATCTGCCTTGGGAAGGGGACTTTTGATGATGTTCGATAGAACAAAGGTCCCAGAAATCAAGTTATATTTTAAATCAAGAAAAGTTAGGCTTTTGAAAAGTTAGTAATAGTCTCTCCTGGTTTTACAGGGAGCTTGCCCAAAGCCTTATCTTTTTGTACTTGGGATTTATTTTTAAATCTAATTTTTTTTTCATGGTTTTAGTGATGTTCCGTACTCATTTTGCTTGACTTGAGCAGAGTTAGTGTTTGTACCACAAGCTTGAGAAAAAGCTGTCAGAGTCCAGTATGCTCTGACCAGTTCCTTTTAGATATTCCATGTGTAGTCGATGAAATGTTTAATATCAGATTTACTGATTTGGAGATACTTGTTGTGACACAGGATTTCTGATTTTGTGGAGCAACACAAAGCATATGGAAATCACAATGCAAATGTACTTTATGCTTGGCAAAACACAGCAATGGCAGTATACAGTTCTATCATAATACTAATGTGATTCCCATTACTAGTCTCTATATTAAGCTCACCATTGCAACACTGGGAAGGAACATGTGGGTTGAAGCTAGCTCAAGCCCATTACTCTCTTCAGAATTCTTTTGCTAGTTGTTCAGTTTTTATGCTCTGTATTGGGTTGAGCCACCTATTCGCTGTGTGCATGCTGGTCTGGCTAGCTCTGGGAGACGTTCACACTCTTTAATGAATAAGTGGGAGAAACATTTACACATCAGTGGATCCACTCAGCTGTTGATAGAACAACACCTATCATTCTAAAACACTGCCAACCTCTGGTCCCCTTTGTATTGAGATAAATACAGGGCTTGCTTTGGAAAAGCTGCGGTCAGTCACAGAAGTTGCAAACCAAGGTCCAGATGCTCATGTGCTTTACAGACATGCCATCTAGAAAAGATCCCTTCTCAAAGAGCAAAAGTCCAAATGCTGAGCTGCTAGGGTTTCTAGTCTAGTTCAGTCAGCCTTAGCACATCTAAGTAACTTCTTTTGCAAGGGAAAAAGAACAAGATGATCTTTCATCATATAAAATTATGTGTGGTAAGGAACCTTCCAAGAGCATCCAGTTAGCAGCATTTCCATCGTATGTAGATACAGGCAGTTGAAAGATGAAAGTCACATAATGAACATCAAAGGGAGTTGACTGAGATACTCTGCCTTGAGAAGGGCTGTTCACTGAAAAAATCACTACCTGTGTTTTCATTTACAGAAATATTTTTTGGTCAAGCATCCATCTAAGATCCTTGGGGCAGCAGGGGCGGGAGTGGTGAGTTTGGCTAAACTAGCTTTTTTTCTTGCATGAATAATGTTGCTTTGAGCTATTCATTCCTTACCTCTATTTGTTGCTTAGTCTACCTTGTTTGTAGAATTTAGTGTCATGGCAAGGAATGTCTCCCTAGAAATTCTGGAGAAGTGTCTGTTTTCATTTACCTTGGTAGCTGAGGGAGAACAGCTTGAGGGTTGCCTCAAGAGCTACCTTAACACTGCATGGATTTTAGCACAAACAATACTGTCTATGATTCCTCATTTAAGGGTACATGCTAGTTTCTGTTTCAAGTCAGAGGAAAACCAGGGACTGGATAGATAACTGCAAACAGAATTTGTGTGAGTTTTGAGGTAGAGTAGCCCAAGCACGCAAATCTTTCTGGGACGTTTCTGCATCTTCTGAAAAGAGAAAGAGATTTCCAGGTAGGTAATTTGTTCTGTGTCTTCAGCTTGCCTGATCTACTGTGTCATCCATCAAGAAGTCAGGAAGTAATGATAAAGCCTGCATGTCAACTGTCTATTGTCTGTTACTGTGACATTCTAATTAATGCTCACATCTGACCTATTTTTTCCTGGGCTGTCTGTTGCAGTGCTTGATGGACACAGGAGGGAACTAAACAGTGTAAGAGGAAACCGACGTTAAGACCCAGAATTTCGACACACATGAAAAAGCGGTTGTCACTGCCTTCGTGGTGCAGTATGGCATTCGGACCTGGTGTCCTCTGCCTGCTCCTATGGGCAATAACAGGTAGGAGTTTACTTCTTGTGTGTCTGAGTCACCCAGAGAAGAGAAGCATATGCTCCTGGAGTGTGCATACAGCTGTGAAGGAAATACAGATAAGGCAAGAACTGGAGAATCTTGTGACTTCTCAATCCAAAAATCTTTGAGAAGGTACAGCTTCATAACTGGCAGTTGACTGCAATGGAAGAAGGCAATTGCGAGTAGCTGTGTGGAACCAGTTTCAGCAGGCTGTTTCATGGGAGATCCATGGTACAAGAAAGGGTAGTGGGAAAGTTTAAAGCGTTTTCCTTTTATTTCTCTTCAGGTCAGCAATTTAAGAATGATGTATTGATTGTATTCTAAGCTACTTCTTTGTTCCAAAGTGTCATACGATGGTTGATATATGAGAAGCATAAATGCATTTGTTCACATCTGTCACCTCATCATCCTCCCTACAAACATATATTTCCCACCAAGGACCACAGGGTAGTCCTGTAAATTTCTGCTTCAGCCACAGGAATAGGTAAATTATTTCCACAATCAGACAGATGCAGAATGATAGTAATTCTTAGTGCTACCACTGTATCATAGAGAGACTTAATCTGGGGCAGGTAGTTTTGATATGGCAAGTGCAGAAAAGTATTTGCAGAAGTGGGGTTTATTTTCTTAAAAGACAGTGTTTGAATTCTGGCTTTGGAGATACTGGCAGCATCCATATTAGCAGGAATTGAGAAAATAACAGTTATCTGACTTTCTTCTCTTAAAGTAAAAACAGGATGGGCTGTTTCATGAGGGAGAGCCTTGCTTAATGTGCTAAGGCTTAAACTGACTACTGAATTTGGAAAAGTTGGGTGAAGGGGGGTAGGTATTAACCTACAGCTGAGGAGAGATAGGCATTAACTATAGCTGTGCTCTCATCTGGTTCAAAGTAGATATCAAGATCACCCTGAGGATCTTATAGTGCCAATTTCTTTGAGAAGAACATGGAGCTGAAGTGTTTGTTGCTGTAGTAAACAAGTATGCCTTTTAGAAATAAAATGCTCTCCTATGAGATACTGAGTACCTGCTGTAGGGTCCATACTAGTATCTTTGGAAAAAAACTCACAGCAACTTCAACAGAAGACAGTAATGTGCAGTAAATACTGGATTTTGCCTGTAGAGAATGTCACAGTTTCATGCTTTTAATAATACTGTTAATTGTTAGCAGACTAGAATATCTTCCACATGCATATAGAAAGTTATCAGTCTTTAGCTCCAAATTTGCTATCCTTTCTTGGTTTATCTGAGAATAAGACCATTGCTCTCAGACTGTTGGCTGTATTTCAAGCCTCTCCTTGTATCTTAGGTACCAACACACAGTGTTCAGAGGATAATATAATCTAATATCTCATATTATTTTAATAAAAATGTAAGAATTTATTTCCATCTTGATAATTTGCAGTATTTTTTAATCCAATTAATATTTACTCTAATTAAACTGGAAGGTTCTTGCTGATTTCCAGGATATGTTTGCTGAAATACATCAGTAGATGCTCAGCTTTTTTAAGTCAAAAGGACTTCTTTTTAGTGCAGGCTTTAAGGTGAATTTACTCAGGCTCAGGAATTTGCTGGATGTTCATTCTGCAATTTTTTTCTGCACATGAACTTGTGCTTTTAAGAGCCACTTTTTGTTAAAAAAACCCAAGTCATCTTATGTTTTAATTTAAAATAATGAGAAGACTGACTTTATATAGGAAAGGAAGGCTTGACATTTCATTGCTGAGAGAACAGAGAAACAGATTCACTGGTGAATATTGTTGGAAGGATATTGAAGAATATGCTCTAGTCAGAAGAAATATAGATGGGCTACTCTGTCCTGTTTAGGTGACATTTATTTGGTTTTATTCTGTGCATGGTGGCTTTTGACTAATAGTGTTTGACTGCTTTTCATGAATGTGGTACGTTGATCTTTGCTGGCTGTCAGGTGCTCAGCAAATCACTTTATCATTTCCCCTTCTCAGCAAGATGGGAGAGAAAAATATGACTAAAAACTCATGGATGGAGATCAGGACAGAGAGGTCCTGTACTAATTACAGTCAATAGCAAACAAGACGACATAGGGAAGTAGTTTAATTTATTGTTGATTAATCAGAGTAGGATAATGAGAAATAAGAATATCATAGGTTTACTTGTTCTAAAAATCCAAGCAGAAATTTTCCTTTCCCCTGTCCCACTGTAAGAGAAGGAGGTTGAATGAGGAGGGGGAAGGGGTAATTGACTGTACGAAAGAATTAGCTGGCAGACCTGCATTCCAGGTTGATGGCCCTTCCAAAACTGCAGGGAGGGGGGAGGAGTTTTTCTCCTCCTCTCCTTGCAATGGGGGACACTTCATGTTTTGCCTTAATGGGGGCAAGGTGTGTGCTGGAAAAGCTCTGAGGCCATTTTTGCTCTCGGCCTGGTCATCTGGCTGTTCTCCGGCCTCTTGCCTGCGGTCTGCTCTGTCGCCAGCTGGGCCTGCTCAGAGTTTATCAGAGAGTTTGTGCTTGGCAAGGAAAGGGGGGAGTCCCGACCACAGCCAGCTGCAGACATCGTGAGTTTTGTGGGAGAGAACCCGCCCTCCTTTTCCCCTTTTTTCCCCTTCACCTCCTCAGTGGTGGGGGGGAAGTCTCCATTGTCGGCTTTTCCCATGCACCGGGGCCTGAAGTGGTGACTGCCAGAGCCCAGCAGTGCCCTCTGCTGACCAACACCGAGCACTGCAGGCTCTGCTCCTCCAGTGGTCCAACAGCCCCCAGTGCCCACCGTGATGAGAGTCGCGCTAGAGGACAGAGAAGTATCAAACTGTTTCCTTTTTGAAGGAGACTTTTGGGTACAGGATTATTGTTTAGTTGTTTTTGTGTTCTTTTGCCGTTTTTGCCAATATACATATATTCTTTAATAAAGGGTTGTTATTTCTTCCTTTTTCCATACTTCTTCAATTGGAGCCTCTTAATTTCAGATTTACAATTGCTGAGAGAGAGGAGTTTGGTCTACCTCATAACTCATCCTTCTTAACAAAAAACTTCAGTCTCCTTAAACTGAGACAAAGAACTAATGTAAAGACACCTTCCCCTCACTTCTTCCTTCTTCCTAGACTCAACTTCACTTTCAGTTCTTCTGTCTTCTTCCCCTTAGAGGCTCAGGGCATGAGGAATGAGGGTTGCAGTCTGTTCATAGTGCTTCATCTCTTTTGCTCCTTTCTCCTCATGCTCTTTCCCTGCTCCAGCATACAGCCTTTCCCATGGGCTCAAATTCTTGAAGAAGTGCTCAACATGGGTCCTTTCCACAGGAAAATCCTTCGGGAACAGGTTGCTCCAGTGTGGATCCCCTTTTGGGCCACAGATCCTGCTGGAAAATGTGTTTCTGTGTGGGGTCCTCTTCATGGGGTTGCATTTCAGGCCAGGATCCTATTCCAGTCTGGATTCTCTGTGGGTTCACAAGTTCCTTCAGAGCTTATCCAGCTGCTCTGAGGTTGAGTCCTTCACAGGCTGAAGGGTAGATACCTGCTTCATTGTGGATGTCCATGGACTGCGGGAGGACAACATGCTTGGTCTTCACCGCAGGCTGCAGGGGAATCCCTGCACTGGTACCTGGAGCACCTCCTCCCCCTTCTTCACTGGCCTTTGTGTATACAGGATGTTTTTTCTCATGTTTTCTTACTCTTCTCTCCTGCCTGCTGCTGTTGTGCCAGGTGTTTTGTCCCTTACTAAATACATTATCACAGAGAAGCTGTCGCCATCCCTAAATGGGTCAGCCTTGGCCAGTTGTGGGTCTGTTTTGTAACTGGCTCTGTCCTGACATGGGGCAGCTTCTGGTGTCTTCTCGCAGAAGCCATCCCTGCAGTCTGTTTCCCTCCCCCAACTCCCAAAACCTTGCACATAAAACAATGAAAAACAAAGCTAGAACAGTAGGCAGATCACCTAATGGATGCAGATATCTATCACTGACTAATGTTTGTGCCTCTCGGGATGCTTGAGCTGGATGTGGCGATAGGTATTAGTGTGTATCATGCCTCTGTCACTTACCATCTTATGCATTTTGAAAGATTTGCTTCCAAAACCTGTGGATGCAGCTCCTAATTTAGCCATATAGACATTCTTCATAATGCTTATAATCTCATTTCACTGTCTTGTATCCATTCATTTGTGAAATCAGCTTATATTGAAATACATTTAAATTATTCTGACCATTAATTATTATTTTTATGCTAATGTATAAAAGAAAATAACTTTTTTTCCTTATGAGAGATAGAAGACATTGCTATAGAAGACGTTGCTTTCCAGCACAGAACCAACAGTTTACTTTGCAACTGGGAATCCAATACCTCGGAATCAATTCAGTCTAGCTCTCATCTTGAGCAGGCATGTTCTAATTTGGTATTTGAGGCAGACCTTGCAAATACTGCTATTGAAATGCATTTCTGCAAATATAAGAGTTCTTATGTCTGACTCTCAGTTTTCTCATACTTTATGTGTGCATATTGTGTGCTTTGTTCTGAGATTATCCACTCCAAGAAAAATTCAAAGAGGGATTGGCAGGTAATTTCACTCGCAGGTGTTGTGCAGTTTAGTCTCCTGCTTCTAACTCCATGCAGTCCAGCTGTAAGATTTATGACCTCCCTCTCAGTGCTGTGCTGCCAGCAAGAAGGTAATGGGAAGTGATTCTGATCAAATGTCACTTTTCTTGGTGCAAAGTCTGAATCTGAGCTCTTCTCTATTGCATGTTCCCTCTTGCCCCTTCTTTCTGCTTCTTGTTGGACTGCTTGCTGCTGGGGAAAACAAATAGAGCAGTTCTGTCTTTGCAGGTTTCAATACTGGGGTGATTAGCCGTGATGAACCTTGTGTTAGTACAGTGTCACAATTTGCTACTTACTGACTAAAGAATATTTGCTGCCAAATCATTCAAGTGCTCATGGTTGTGTGAGCATGGGGGAGAGCATCTGTTAGGTTTGGCAGTTAGTTTCCATGTCCCCTTGAGGAAAGGTCTCCATCCAGCTGTGACAGAGGAACAGCGGTGTTCCTGTTGGGCTCTCGACATCAACAGACTCATACACCAAGGTGTGAAGGAGTGGTAGCATGCAGCTCAAAGGGTGTGGACGTTCCCTCATTAAAGGAAGGAATCTCTGTAGAGTGAAACTATATTCTACCATGTGGCTGTTTAAGAGGGTTTTAGTGGGGGGTATGGGTTGGCTTTTTAAGGGTAATTGACTTGCCTGACTAGGTCTTTGGGTATGTCAGTGTTGTCCTACTGCAGACATAACGGTACAGCTAAAAGGAAGGAGAACACTTTCAGAACTTCTAGGCTTTTGGCTCATGCTCCAGAGGGTTTTCAGGGCTTGTAATAAAGGGAAACAGTCTTTCTATTGGTAACTTGAATGAGTACTTCAGAAGCAAACAGTATTGCGTGATGCTAGTTTTTTTGCTCTTACTGGTCAGAGTAGAACAGTGTTTTAATGTCTTGAGTTCAGTTAACAAGGAAAATAGCTGTTCTATGACCTCTCACAGCAGGTAATAGTGTAGCAGACACAAATTTTACTATGTGACCTTTCACATGGCACACTTTCAGTAATTTTTATGTAAAAATAGACTTCCCTACCCCTATTTGAGCCCATTGCAGACTGGAGATTGGATGGGATGAAGGGGAATATGAAATTAGAGATCAGATTAAGTTCACTCTAAGTAGATATATTTTCCATGTGAAGACAACTAATGTACACACACCTAGTGTGAGGTTGAAATAGCCTGCTAAATTCATCCTTTCTTGAGTACCTGTTGCTACATTCCAACTCAGGTATAAGACTAGCTGAAGCAAGAGATGAAACTTTCATTACTTTGAGATTTGGATTGCACTGTTAGATTTAATTTAGAGTTGTCAGGGAAATAATTTTCTCACTGTACAGAAATTCAGAAGTTTAATGTTTTTTCCATTCTTTATTGGGATGAAACCAAGGCCTTCTGAATTTGAAAAAGCAGGTAGCTAAGACCTGTGATTAGGTTGCTTGCTTGTGAGATTTAGGTTCCAAGTGTTTAATTATTTTAGGAATGTACTGGCCTTGTTTCTCACAATGGCTAATGGAGCACCATTAATTTTGAGGAGGTCCACTCTGCAGTGTGGTAACTAATGTGGCAGAGAGATTTGAACCTCATTGAGGACTTGAAGTGTGTCCTGAGGTTAGAGCTGTGGAGTATCCCACTTGCATAAGCCTGTCTCTAAGACAAGAATTGTTGGTCATTCTTTTCTGAACAAATAAATAATGAACTTTCAAATTTGTTTGAACAGGTTGGTCACTTTCTCCTTCAGGGATGAAGTAGAGAAGGGGAGGGGATGAAAACAGTCCTCAAAGGAGTTTTTCTAGCCCATATTAATAGTCCTGTTCCTGAAGTATTAATTGTTACTGATTTAATATTGCACATTTGCACGGAATTACGTTCCTCTTTTACCCTTTTAAAGGCCTGTTTCTCATCCCTCCACTGACTTACAGGATTAACTAAATTGATATGGTTGCAAAAGGACAGAATGGTTGAATGGGCTGCCTGACTCCTATACTCCATTTTAATCCAGAGCTCTTCTGGCTCCCCTGTTGTGCAGGCAACTTAAAGGAAAGACTTGTGATGACAATTCATATTCTCTGCCAGGGTCTTACATTGTTGGAGGTAAGAGGGAATGTAGAGAAAAAGTTTATATGCAATGTGAAAGAAAAAACTGCACAAATCTTGGGCATCACCCGGGTACACATAAAGGTACTACATATCTAGGCTGTTAGAGCAGGATAGGTTTCAAGTGCATGTTGCCCTGGATAGATTTTTTCACTGGAAGTGTAAAGTGGAAGAGGAGACAGCATCCCAGTTCTGTGTGAAGGAGCAACTAGAGTCAAAAAATGGTACTTGAAACTCTTTATCCTTTTTGTCATCTTCCTATTCGACTATATCTATTTGCAAGTCATCAAGCTTTTTTAAAATTTGGTTTTGTTTCATGTTTTTCCTCACTCTCCACAGCCAGCTCTGCAAACCAACATAACGTTTTGTCCACTCTATCCCTCTGTATGCAATACAATTTTTTTGATTGTTGGTTTTTTTGGTTTTGTTATTTTTTTGTGCTGAACTTAACTTACTTTGCAAGCTTCCATTCATCCCAGGCAACATGATACCTCACAGGTATTTCAGTAGCTGTGTTAATGACTTGTGAAGGATGGTGCTCCAGTTTAGCCCAGAAGATGTGGTGGGAACTGTAGTGTGGTGCTGGACACAGCACATGTGTAGGAGAATCCCTGCATCTCCAAGGCTCATGGAGACCTAGCCCCTATGGCCAACCTACTCCTACTCCTTGATTTCATTTTCCTGCCCCTCAACTCATTAGTCAAGCTGCCTTTTTCTTTTTCTACTGCCCTATAGTATTGTGAATAATGAGGTTGCTGCTGCCAGAACTCAATTGTTAATGACATTAACAGAAATGCAAAGCAGACAGAGTCAACTTTGTCTTTCGTTACTGTTAGCTCCACAATGGTGACATGTTTGTTTTAATTTGTTGAGTTAGCAAGTCTAGTTGAAAACCAGAAGAAGAATGTCCTGGTTTTACTCAGCTATTTCTTGAAGCATGATCAGGTTTTTCAAGTTGCATTTTAGAGAGAGAAGTTCTGAAGAGCAATTATAACCAGGGGAAAAAATCCACCTAGAAAAGATGTTAAAAAATTGACTGAGATATACAGGATGTCGGTTCATACTTGTTTTGAACACTTCACACTCAGTCTGTGATGTGCTATGAAATTAATTCTGATGTCATTCTAAAAGATTTCAACTTCACTACGAATGAAGGAAAGATGCTCCATACTGAAGCAAGCTGTTGGGATTTCACATGAACTGTTGGGTAAAGCAGCAAAAGTTTGAGAATTTATCCAGATTTTGTATGAAGCCCAGCAATTATGTTGGAGTGAGGAACTCTTCATGAAGTTCAGATGAGATGACAAATCTTTCTCCTTTGTAGATTTTTGCTGCCTTCTACCTCAAGTGAAACAATGACATTCTACAGCATCTTATTTAAGTTTTTTTTTTAAATGTATTTTGCTTACTATGCTGTAGGGGTAATGAAGGTACCCCATGATTTATTTTTTTTCTGTGTGTTCCCTGCTTTGTTCTTGTTTTTAAGTGCTGGCAACTCATTTTTCTCTCTATGTATTTGTATTTGTGACACAGGAGTAAAAGGTACGTTTGCAAAACATATCAAGATCCTATGCTGAAAAATCCTCCAAAGTACAAATACTACTGCAAAGGGATATGATGAAAAAAAGGGAGCGGTGATGTTAGTGAAAGAAAATGAGCTTTTTTAACCAGGGTGCCACCTGTCTTTATCTTGTTTTCTGTGATAAGCCATTTATAGTCACAGTAAACTATATTGTGGCTTGGTTGTAGTGCTGTGCCTTATGTTCGTGGTGTTGTTTCAGGTTCCAGTTGTGAGCAGTGCAGAGAAGGAGCCGCGTACTCAGGTGCAGTAATATCTCCCAACTTAGAAACCACTAAAATTATGCGAGTTCCTCATGCCATGTCAGTGTCCGACTGCATCGCAGCTTGTTGTGACCTCTCTGGTTGTGACTTGTCCTGGATGTTTGAACAACGTTGTTACATCGTGAACTGCCAACACGAAGAGAATTGTAAACCTAAAAAAATTGAAACTGTAAAGTCCTATCTTACTTTTGTGCTGAGGCCTTCTCAGAGGCGAGCCTCGCTGCTAGGACTTGGGCAAGTGATCCCAAGCATGGTCCACTCTCTGGGACACCAGAATGAGCCATCTGAGGAAGTGAGTAGCCTGAAGAAGCTGTCTCTGCTTGGCAAAGATCCCAGCCTTGAGGAGATACCTGAATACATTGATGATTATAAAGAGTTGGAGGAGGACCCATTTCAGATGGGCATCAAACATGAGCAGAAGGAGAGCACAGATTATGCTGACTGGGGCCTGATGATGGCAGGTGAAAATGGCTTCAATGCTTCCACAAGTGATGACGGAGATAACCAGGAAGACTTTGCTGAAAAGAAAGGGGAGGCTGTGAAGGTGGAAGGCCTTTCAAATAAAAATGTCTCTGAATTGAACTCTGTCGCTGAACACTCCATAGACAAGTTGTCATCCCTCCTGGAGATTACACCATTCCCTGGGAAGACATTTGAAAGGGAAGCAGCTGTTCAACTTCTTGCGCAACCTGATGATGCTTTGCAAAAAGAGGTATGTTTGCCCCTCAGCAGGCAGAGTATAGTGAGGCTACTTGGCAACTGTTTTGTTTTTCAAATCTGTGAAAATCTGAGATAATTGCTTTGTAATATTACAGCACTCAAATGACTTAACAGTCCTGTTATAGTGTAGAAAAGGCTGAAGGGAAGAGGATTGTCTTAATAGGCAGATAAATCACCAAAGGATTTTTTTTTTAAATCAGATGATAAGGAACAGAGCTCCTTTTGGGGCACTGTGGGGTTTCCTTGGAAGTTTACTAATGAGTGAGCTTGGAACCTGGTGTAATAGTGTTACAGTTGTCTTCACTTCTGACCCATGGTGACTCATTGGAAGTTAGCAGAGCAATAGTAGTGGATCCTCTAGTATTCAAAGGCCAAGACCAGTAAACCAGAGTAAACCAAGACCATATAAGTTCAATAAGAACTTATATGTGACAATAAGAAAAGTAAATTACACACTTAAAATCTACTATATATATATACTTAAGTAAGATGGACCTGTTCTCTATTTATGCCAACCAGTTTGATCAGTTGAGTCTAAAGGGGCCCTGGTTTCTTAAGATCAGTTGAAAAGTTGAAACAGGCTATAAATTCAACATTCCCTGGGTTTGACACTCCTGCCAGAAAGAGGAAATTAAGCAGTATTAGCTGACTTGCTCTAAATTCCACCAGATTTTGTAACCAGCACCTACTTGTCACTTACTGTAAAAATTGTAATGTATTGACATTACTGTAGGGAAGAAAAATACAAGTTAATAAGAAAGTTGCATGAAATCTGTGACAACTGAGATTCTTGGACGGAATGACTGAAATGGCAAAAGTATGTGAGGAGAACAGCAAGTCTATATGTACTGTCTAACTTGGATACCATTGCAGCCTAAGGGTGTGGCAGTTTCTGGGTTCTGCTTTGAGATCTTATAGATGTTTTAAGAACTGGTTTTGGGGGTTATCTGGGAGTGTTATGAGGAAAATGGGTGGTTGTTGTAGCTGGGAGGGGAAAGCTAGCAGAGGCTGGAGCCTCTAGCAGCTTCTCACAAGCTCTGTCCGCTGTTCTCGATCAAAGGGTGCCTTGGGTTTTTGCCCTAGTCTGCTCACGATCACAGAGGGGTGATGCACCCCTCCAGCATGTGCTCGGGAGAGGACCTCTCTCCAAGACCTCTGCCTAGAGGTGGCAATGAACTAGTCAGGAGTTTATATGGGTCAGGGCTGGCAGGTCAACTGCTGTGGGCAACATGAGGGTGCATGTCTGCCCCAGACCGCCTGGTCAGGAAGAAGAAAATAAAGACTTAAGGCAACTGGGAGGAGCCTCATATTAACAGCCCTGGTCCTCAGGGAAGATTTAAGCCATCCAAATGCCTACTGGGAGGGCAAGAGAGCAGGGCACAAGCAATGAAGGAGGTTTCTGGAGGATGTTGATGATAACTTCAAGAAGTTATCAGAGGTCATTGAGGAACTGAGGAGAGAGACTCTGCTGGACCTCACCCTTACAGGCAAGGAGGGATTTGTTAGGGATATGACTGTGAGGTGGAGGCTTTTAAGAGGAGCAGGAATAAGTTAGAAAGCAGGGTCACAACCATGGGCTTTAGTAGAGCAGTCTTTGGCCTGTTGTGGGATCTGCTTGGAAGACTCCCAAGGGAGATTGTCCATGAGAGCAGGTTGCTTTTTGAGGATCACTTCCTCTAGGCTCAAGATAGCGTGTGACTTTTATGATTGTCTAAGTTGGTCTGAAGTGTATTGGCATGAGTGAAAAGAGATTAGAACTCATCTTCATTTGTATGGAAGAACATTTGATAGCAGATCAAGTGCTATTGCAGGTTGAAAAGTGGGTTCTCATTCTACAAGCAGAGTTGATGATGGGAGATTTGTTTTAAAAAGTTTCTACCACGCATGCCTTGAAATGAGCATAATTAACATGGGGGTTTAGAAGAGAGGGCTGGATCCTAATAGTTTTTTTTCTTAGCATGCATATGTGTATATATGAAGAGTGTAATACCAAAGTATGCTGTCCCTACTGATAAAGTTTGGAGTGACATTCTGTCATGCACTAGTGTTGCAGTTAATTCTAACAAAGGGCAATAGCTGAGCTGCTTTTACAAAGTTAAAATTTAGGACATCCCGCCACTGCTGTACTACAGTTTACAAGCATTTTTCAGTTATTGCCTGTGCTATGTGCTGGAAATTAAGCCACAGCAAGAACCTGTGGTAGCTCCATACACCACCATGTTTGTGCACTTTGGGCATGCAGTAACACTTGAAACTTGCCTCCACTGCATTTTGCTGTCAAATGGAAGACCATTAGCACTGTGCTAATCTTTAGGCACTTGTCAGGATCTGTACTGACTGTGCCTTCTGCCTTACAGAAGCCATGAAACTTTGAGTTCACCTAAACTATGTGGCAGAGCTGAGCAAGTTTGTTCCCTGTCTCTAAGGGATCATGTGATTACCGTTTTATGAAAGTTGAGATTTCACATCCTGCAATATATATATATAATATATATATATGGTCAAACCTACTTTGTAAATCTCTACTTTGATTTTGCTACCCCCGCCAGAATAGAAAGATTTTTCTTTCTCTTTGTGCACCGACTGCGTAGATGGGTGTTTATTATAAAGTGAAATGGAAAAAAACCCTATTTCTTATTGGGACACAAAGAAGTCATTCTTGTGTGATCTTTATATTAAGCTAACATTATGCTAGCACAGCCACTGAAATTCCAGTAGAAAGGCTGAGGAATGAGATTACTTCTTTCAGTGCAGAAGGGATAAAACTCCAAACCTAGGTCAGTCTTTATCCCCAGCTGGTAGTGATGCTGAGGAGCCGGTAAGACAGCTGTAGTTAGATGATCAGGAAGTGCTCTGTGAGCAGAGCTGCAGAAGATGGTTGATGGGATAGCATTGAAAACTGGTCATGACATGTATGGAGAAATTACTCTAAAGATGCTCTATTAATGTAAAGAAAGAATCTGGAGAAGCAGAAGGTGCAAAGGTGCAGCCTTTGTTTCCCAAGTGGGAATCGTTTGAATTTAGACATTTGTAGAGAAAAGATGATGAGCAGGCCTTTCCCTGGCCTTCCCCAGAATCAACTTCAGGCATGTTTTCTTCCCTTCCTAGTCTCCACTCCCCTTCTTTTCACTGTAGTTTATATTCAGTCCCTTTGGTGAGATGACAGGTGGCATGGGAGAGTGGAGTCAGTGCATGGCAGTTTCCTTTTTGCCACTTGTTGCCTATTTCTCTTTTCTGTTGCTGTTCCTTCCTTCTTACTTGTTTCATCTGTCTGGTATGGGCTTCTCTGTGTGCCTCAGTTCTCTGGGAGGTGCCATGAAGTGCCTGTTTCCAAGAGGGTGTCTCAAGCCCTATGCTCAATAGTGTTCATTTCCAGATGTTCCCTCTCATGTCTCCTGTTGTGCATCTCCCCACCTTCTCCTCTATCCCCTGCCCCCAGTGGCCCTTTTTTAACTATGTTTGAATGGCTGCAGTGTTGATGCATGGTGGTTTGCTTCCATCCATTTCCAAACTGTCTGGAACCACAGGGGTGACCCGTGCAGCCAGTCCTCTGCCATCCAAACCCTGCCAGTATGGCTAACACAAATTTCCAGGTTTTGGCTTCAGGTTTTTCTGGTTTGGGAACTTTACTTGTGACCCTGGTGAAAAAGGCCTGTGACAAATTCTGGTGATAGAATTTCCCTCTTACGTGTCTCTTTCTCCAGCAAGCAGACATTTTTATCAAATCTCATATGGATTGTTCAGCACATTTTTGTGTTTCCTTCTGACGAACTTTTTTTGGAAACCAAATTTTGTTATTAAGGAAATCTTAAATTTTTACACTGGATTAAAAATGCTGAGATGTCCTCAAATAGTTTTATCATTGGCATATAATCCAAACAACCTCTCAACCTGTGGTCTTTTTGTATGCGCTATGAAAACGTGAAGGTCTTAAAATCATATTTGCTAATAACTTTAATGAATTGCCCTATTTATTACATGTTATACAATGTATTCCTATGATCCTCTTAATTCTGCCACTGCAATTCTTTATCTCCTAGATCTGTGCTGACACACTCCCTTCTGCAGCTTCCAGACAAAGCTGTTTTGACAAGTCAGACAGAGCAGGGTGGCAAAAATGCAATTCCCTCCCTCCACAGTAGTCAGCAGGATGCAGTGTCCTCAGGTGCTGTGTTCTTTGAGCGAGGACCTGGAGACAGATTTTAAACTGAGAGACCGACAAACACAGACCTCCAGAGTCTGTGCCCTTGGAGCATCCTTGCCATAAATGCAGTCAGGTGCAAAGGATTTCTGTATGTGACTTGGATAGAGAATTTTTGTCATTTAACTGAAAAACCTGACTGTTGGGTTTACATCGGACTTCAGAGTGATCTTATGGACTGTTACCGTCTAGCAGCTCAATAACATGAATACATTTAGAAATCTATACAGAGTATATGCTGCCAAGCTGCCCAGAACAGAAATCTGCAGTGCTGCCCATCCCTGAAGTGTAAAGTATTAATTGTCTTTTTAAAATTTCCAGTTAGCTGCTGATCTGCTAAGGTCTGTAAGGTTTTTCAGGTCTTAATTTCTAGCAGCTGCTGTGTTGATGCTGCAGTGTTTCAAATGTTCAGTAGGTTAGGCCTGACTTGCTTCTTGAGCTTATTGTATTTGCAGGAATAATGGTGCAGTCAAAATGCATAAAGCTCTACCTAAGAAACCTTAAGATGGCTGACAGACTTTATATGATGGTGAGCCTTTTAATGTCTAATTGGCTTGCCTTCAGAATTGATATTTAAGACCTAGAACGAAGTTGAATATCAGAGCTGTTCATATATTATTTTGGTTCTGTTTGGTTAAAAATGCATTGATTTGATCTCTAGGATATGTATAAAACCTCTGAAAGATGTTTAAATATTTAGATTTACCTGCCAAAAAGGTAAATTTCTTTCTTGAAATCTGCACTTCCTGTCATACTGTATGGTGGTTTGCTCTTTTTGCAGCGCCCCAACTACACAATTAGTAGGGATCTTACTTGCTTGAAATCATTGGACACGTGACTGAATGCAGAGAAGCAGGGTGTCAAACCATGACACAGGGACAAGTAGACCAGCAAAGTTTCACTGCTGACAGAGCTGCTTTCCACAAAGTTTTGCAGATAAATGAGGAAGAGGAAATGGTACTGCAGTTAAGTAGTAGTCTTATGTGCAGAGGGACATGGAGGAATCGCTGCTGGGGAAGCAGTCATATGAAGTGCAACACTAGCAGCCCTTGACTCTCCAGAGTCCTGATCACTTGTCTTTAGGAGTACTTGAGGAAGATGTTTCCTTGAGGGGGAATGTTGGGTTGCCTCCAGGATCAGGATGGAGTAAGGAAACATGGTAGGGTTTATCCTTCACATTCATGGGGTGGGGGAGGGGAGGGGGAAAGACTACCCAATCTATGGGGTCAGCCAGGGACCAGAAGTGGGAAAGGATCCCTCTTGGCATGATACTGTTGCCTGCAGTGTAACTTTGAGCTTCCCCAGGAAACTGCATGGCGCTTGTTGTTGTCGTTGTTGTTTTTCCCATTTTGGATTATGGGGATGTTCTCAACTTCTGTTGGAATTATCAAGAGATGGGCACTCAAGTCAAACCTGAGAACTGAAGGATGTGGGCCCTCACCGTTGGTGTGTTTGTTGCAAGCAGTAGTGGCTGTACAAATGGGTAAAAGCAAACAACCCACAAAGCCCATATCAACAGAACTATCTACCCTGCTCACTCCCAGGAAGAATCCTTCTTTTCTTTCTTTCACTTCCCAAGCTGGAATTTAGGTTAATCTTGCCTTCTGCATCTGCTCCAGCAAATTTCTCAGTAATAGGTTCTGCCTGAGAACTCAGTTTCTGATATTGTCCCTGCCCCAGTTGTCTGCTGCCTGCTAATGTTTTTACTTTAAGCCGTCTTTTTGGCTGTGACGCAGCTTCAGATGTGATGGTGCCACAGGGCACCTTTTCTGACTGCAGCATCTTGCCTAGGTTTGCTGACTGAAGTGATGTTTGGTGCCACTGCAGAATAGAGTGTCCCTGGAAAAGTTTGACTTTGTCTCCATCTGTCCTATAAAGCCAAGATGGCTGCTTTTCAGCTGATGGATTGCCAAAGGTTCAGGAGAGGAAAAAAGCCAGAGGAAGCTCAGAAAAGTAGATTTCCCTCAAATTTGAAAGGCAAGGAAACACTTTGGTTTGCTCAGGTGGGGTAAAGATCTTTCTGGAAGATGTGGAATGAAGTGATTATGTAAAGGAGAGCTGTCTGGAGGGAAGACCTTTTGTCAAGATAGGAGGCAGGATGTGCTTGAGGCTCTCACTGTGCATGATAATGTTGTCAAGGGTGAGATTCCTGCTGAGGGTCTGGGGTTGGTCTGCTGAAGGCACTACTTCAGGGGAGCTGCAGTCCCTGATGCTGCTGTCAGTGTCCCACCTGCTCAGAGAGATCTTACTGTCTGCATATCGAGCTGGGCTGAAGGTGTGACCAGAGAGGTGCTTCCATTGTCTGCATTATGGATTCACCTGAAGGTGCAACTCTTGATGTGGTCCTCAGCATCCTCACACAGTAGTCAGCCACAATTGCTGACACTGCTCTCACTCTGCCAGCTGCACAGGGATCTTTTCTCTCTGTTTATTGTTCAAGGCAGAGATGGAGTTGCAGATGACTTCCGTGTTCTCTATTTCCTCACAGGTTGGGAAGCAACAGTCCCTGGCATTGTTTTCACATTCCTAGCTGAACAGGGAGCTTTTCCTCCTGTCCACAAGGCTGAAGTGCTCTTATTTCCTGGGGAGGCAAACTGCAGAGTGAAAGCAGAGCACCTGAAATACAAAGAGAAATGGAGTCCTGGGACTGTTCAGCCTTGAACTGAGAGGGTTCAGGGGCACCTTACAAATGTGTATAAATAACTATGACAGGTGTGAAGCAGATGGAGCTAGGCTCTTCTCAGCACTGTCCAGTGGAGACAATGGACACAAATTGAAATACAAAGGAATTACGTTTAAACATTAAACCCCATCTTTTTTCCTGTGAGGATGGTCAAACACAGGAACAGATTTTTCAAAGAGGTTGTGTATTCTCTGTGCTTGGAGATACTCATAACCTAACTGGACTTGGTCCTGAGCAGCCTGCTGTAGCTAACCCTGCTTTAAGGAAGGGGGTTAAACTAGGCTATCTAGAGGTCCCTTTCCACCTCAGCTATTTGTGATACAAGTGTACATTTTACCAACCTTCACAATCCTATTCTTCAGTAAATAGATTATGTACAAATAATAGCACTATGTTATGTCTTCATGTACCCCACACAGCCATAATTGGAAAAATGCTTTTCTCTAGTTGTGAGATCAGAAATAAGTCTCCAGTATATTAAGGAAAAACTGTTGCCCCATTGAGGCTTATGTGTCATTGAGAGGAAAGGCTCACACAGTGCTGAGTTATTTGTGCCAAACTTGCTGTATTGTTTGCTGCAGTTCTGATTTTCTAACAAGGTGGAGCAGTGAGAACAGCACTACTGCTTGGTGACTGAAGGAGAGAGATGTAGGGTGTTTTATTACTGGTGAGGAGATAAAAAGGCTGAGCAAGTTTGTTCTGAGCAGATGTAGTAAGAGGCAAGGATTCTGTTATGTTTGTGTGTGTACAGCATGAAGACAATAATACCACTTGGACTTTCTGTCATTGACTTTTAAAGGTTTATGACTGTATTTAGACCTGTCCTACTATTTTTTTTATTTTATTTTGAGAACCGATAGCCTTAGTTGTATTTCAGGTTACCTCATTGCTATAGCCTACACTGTTCAGCATTTGAAACTTGGAAAATTATTAGCATTTCTTAAAAGATTGATTGGGAAAAAAAAAAAACCAAACAAAAAACCAGTCCTCATTCCATAAATATTTTGTACATGAATAAAATCTCCTAGTAACATAAATCACTAGGGTTATCCTATATGCTGTTGAAAAACAGCATACTTCTAAATCTAGAAATGTGAAAAATGTCTCACTTATGACAACTCTTTCCTTATAATTCATTTTTTCAGGCTGCTACACCTTCCTCTTCTTCAGATAAATTGGATTTCTTCCCAGGCGTGTCAGAGAAAACCCAGACTCCCACAGTGTCCCCTGAGAACGTCACTGAAGGTGGGATCATGTTACTTCCCACTAATACTGTGCCGTCTGAGCCCATGCAGCAGTTCACGCCACCTGCTACTGCTGCTAAAGCAGGTAATGTTCGACATAGCTGGAGATCTGAGGGGTACCTGCAGGTTGGACTGCGAGTGGGAGTGGCTTTACTGCTGTTAGGTTTCCACCCCGTTGTTAGTATGAGCTTGTTCTTTATCCAAATGGTACATAATCCCAATTTAAGCCTGTAGACCTATGGTAACACTGCAAACCCCAGATCTTTAGCCAGTTACTTCTGTGGCAAAACTCTGACCAAGTCCATCATTAATGGGAAATTACAACTCAAGCAAATAAAGCAAAGTAAAAAGCAGAGATTAAGACCCTCTTTTTAATGGGTTAATTTTTATAGTTGGTGAGCAATACCTGAGACTTTCTGAAGTTTCAGAATAGTCTCTTCTAGCCATACAGTTATTTTTGTGTGACTTCAGAACATTGATCCCTCTCAGAAGCTCTCCAGTAGGCTTCCCACTATCTATAGTTGTCAGATAACATGCAGCAGCATAGGTGGGACCTGGGGAAGCTCAGCCCTTACTAGAGGAGAAGCCTAGCCCTTAGCAGGGGAGAATATGGCCTCCTCATCCTGGGAAAAGAAAGTTTTGCTGCAGTTTCAGAACTGCAAGGAGGCTTATCACACTTCCAACTGCAGAGCAAAAGTTTTTATTTTGAAAAGGATGTTTAAGCACTATGTCCCCTGTAGCTGTGTTAAATTCTGTGTGTATGTTAGTGTCTCCTCTCTCCTGCTGAGTTTTCCCTGGGCACCCTGACAAAGGGTTAGAAGGGCTACAAGAAGCAGAAAAGCACAGATGTGTGTTTTTCTGCACTCCTGATGCACCGAGGGATATGGAGAGCTAAGCCCTTTGCTTCCTGGTAGAGCAAGTCTGGTTTGGGACATTCTTGGCACTCTCTGCCAAATTGCACCCTACCAGGCAGGATAGCAGTACAAGGTAACAGGATGAGATGAGCTACAAGAGATCCCTCTCCAAGACAATGGATCATCATTACCATTGACTGTTGACTAGGCAGCTCCTCCTTCTCCTTCACAAGAGGAGATTGAAGAGGACTCAAAAAGGAGCTTGGAAGAAGAAGCTGAAGGGAAGGTTGTGATGAATCTCACCATAGCTACTGCTTTATACAGGGATTGCCTCAAGTTTGTGTGTTCTCAGCCAATGACAGTGCCTCCTTCTCTCCTTTGGTCATCACCCTCTTCTAGCCATTTTATTCTCCTCTCATGTGGAGTTCCAAGTGCAAATTTCCACTCCACAGGTGTCTAGGGCAACTCCTGTGATCAGTTGTGGAGCCTTGGGTGCATTTAACTAGCAGTGACAGAAAGTGTGCTGCCAGGGTGGCCTCTTCACCTCATCCATTTTTAAGCTCATCAGCTGCCACTACTGAGTAGCCTTTTGTTCATCTGTTCCAAGTTTGTAAGTTGGATGTTTATACACTTGTGAGTGTTGCCTTTTGGAGAACCTCTGTTCTGTGGTTTCCCAATATTAAAAGGAAGACATTTAAAACCTTTGAAATTCAGGTCTATGGGAACTTTACTGAAGTTGTGCTTTAGTATGTTTCTGTTGGGGACTGTGTTTGTGTACTTAGGCATTTTTTGGAAGAGGAAAGAGTTTTCACGGACGAGAACTGGATAGCAAAGGGATTGAATGTGCAGTTCATTTGCCCTGCTATACAAGTGGAGTTTTTAAAAGGGACACTGAGATGGACATTGGAGCATGACATACAAGTGCCACACAAACATAGAAGCAGTGCTTCTTGGTGAAAGAAAGTTTTAGTTCTAGTATGAACTATGTTACTTTATTTAATGATATTTGTTCTAGTGCAAATAGCCTTTTTGTCTTCTCTGTGTATTTTTTAAATTCCTGCATTTCTATCCAGTTACTGATAAAAATATGTCATTCTTTATGTAGGGCAATGTTACCTGTGATGTACTGGAATAATCAGAATACTTTTCTCTAAAACAGAAGTAGGGAAAATGACACTTCATAGATGGGAAAGAAGAAAAACTTTGGTTTGGTGGAAGATGAGGGAACCACAGTTATAATAAATTATTATTTTACTATGTATGAGGAATTTTTTTAATTATTCTTGCTTGTTCCCTATAGAGTGTTTGTCAAATTTTAATTAATGCATTGGAAATAATATTTGAAGATACTAAATTTATATCAATTCCATCTGTTATAACATAGTGTACTTGTTCTGTCTTAGATACAGTAAAAGAACTTATTGTGTCTGCTGGAGATAACATACAAGTGATGCTACCCAAAAATGAGGTTGAACTGAATGCCTTTGCCGTCCCACCACCATCTACAGGTGAGTTGAATAGCCTTGGTATACAAGGAGATGCACACACTACCAGCCTGTAAATGCAGACAAGTTCTGAGTTATGTGAACATCTGCTCCTTAGGATAAAACAATTTTCCTCATTTCCTACTACTACCTCTTTTGTGGCTCCAACTGCAGAGAGGATTTTCTCCTTTGGATTTTAAGGATGAATTTTTTTAAGTGACTTTTATTTTCAGAACCTAAACTCATTAGCAAGAGGGTTCAATAAAAAGCCTGTAGTTTCTGCTAAAAGATGATGTGGCCTAGTTTATAGCATCTTGCTGTAAAATGGGAGGAAAGTGGGGAAAGTAAGTTTTGAATGCAACATTTACCTTAAAACTGCTAGCTTTTGAATTACAGCAGCAATTAATACATATTTCATAGGCAGCTGTGTAAAACACGTTTACTTCATGTGAAGCTCGTTTTTGTGAAGAAGATTATTTGTGAAGTCCATTACATCCTTGCTGCTTTACCAAGTTGCAAGACACTGGATATTCTACATGGATTCATACTGCTTCATTTTGAAGGCTTAAAGAGCAGCAGTCATGATTTCCTACTTTAGCATTTCATCTGATGGATGGTGAACTTGATTTCTTTTGTTTTCTTATCTTGAAGGCAGAACTGATTACTCTTACACTGTGTTGTTGCTCTTAGAAACAGCTTACACCTATGAGTGGAGCCTTATCAGCCACCCTGCTGACTATGGTGGTGAAATGGAGTACAGGCACAGCCAGACTTTGAAGCTCTCTCATGTAAGTGAGCTGTAAGCTCAGGCTCGTTGTATCTGTGTGGTCCTTTCACAGAATTGTAACCTGTGGGGAAAGGCACCTTGATTCAAGGAGTTCAAATGACCTCGAGTCATCTGGAATGTCTTCACCCGTGTGTGTCACCAAATCTATGCAAGATTAGAAGTGTCTTTTTTAGCGTGCTTTAATAATTTTCTAAGTAGAGAAAAAATTCGTAAGTGTTTGCTTTATATTCCCCACTTCCAGGCAGTGACTAGTGGTCTTCTGTGTATGTGTTTATAAAAGTAGCTTGAAGATTCAGATATCCAGATTTTTCTCTATTTACAATATGATTGTCAGATTTATGCATACTGCTTTTGGATAATTCAATATGTAACCCAATTTGTTTTGTGTTTGTCTCAGTTATCAGTGGGACTTTATGCCTTCAAAGTGACAGTTTCTGGTGTAAATGCCTTTGGTGAAGGTTTTGTAAATGTCACAGTCAAACCAGGTAAGTCAGTTGGCTGAAATAATTAATTTTTTCAACACAAGTAGTTGTACAGCATGCTTATCTCCTCATACATACCTGTTACTGTTTGTCAAGGACATCTGGCAGTCCAGTCATGCTGACATGTTTCGTGTCTTGATGTCTATAAAGGGTTCTAAGGAAGTAGAGCTAAGGAGCTTGCTCACTGTGTTTAAGTGCTTTCTGGTCTTTCACCCTCCTCAGGCAAAGCCTGAGATAGCATCATGTCACCTTTTATGATTCCTTCTCCAGTACAGCAATTAGGCACTGATCTGGCTCTATTTACAAATTACAGTGCATGGGTCTGATCTGAATTATACCAGTTAGAAGCAGCTGCAGTGGAAGACTGCTGTGTCAGCACACTGCTATTCAGTAACCTTTTCTCTCCCTTGTCCAAAAAGGACAGCAGATGCTGCTGCAAAGCTGTCTGATCTGGATTTAATCACTGGGGACTATTGATCTGTAGACTTAACATTAGTTTTACCTGGGCTCTCACTCATATTTTTTTTTCTTCCCCCCTGTCTTTCTCACAGCCCTCAGAGTTAACCAGCCGCCTGTCGCTGTTGCTTCCCCCAAAGTGCAAGAAGTTTCTTTGCCTACAACTTCCACCTTCATCGATGGCAGTCGTACGTACTGGACCCTCCTGTGTTTATATCCTGTATTTTTAATATACAGTTACGACGTTATTGTTTGTCAGTTATAAGTGGAATTGCTTCTTCTCACTCTTCTCAGAAGTTCCCTGATAAATCATTATTTATTTTGGAGATTTGGGTCCAGTTATAAATTATTTTAATAAATTTAAAAAATTATGAAATGCAACCTTCCACTTGGAGATTGAGGTGCAATGTGTCAGGGGCTGCTGCATCCAAACAGCAGCTGCTCTTACAGCTTCTTCTGTGCCAGTACAGCTGGGGCCTTGGTAGAGAGCTGTCACATAGGGTGTGATGAGATGTTGTAATTATATTCATAGTTACTGAGAGTAGACAAGTTGGAATGTGCAGTCTGAGACTGAATTTTTTTTTTTATCCATGTGTATGAAAAATTGTTTCAAAAAATTATACCAAAGGTAACTTGGAATCTGTGGTTTATGAAGCCTTTTCAAATGTACTTGAAGAGACAGGTGTAGAAAACCAGTAAGAGATGAGTGCATGAAAGACTTTAGCATTCATTTCAGCAATTGCTACAAGAAACTGATATGTTTTTCTTTAATGAATGTAGAAAGTATAGATGATATGAAGATAGTGAGTTACCACTGGGAAGAAATTAAAGGTCCCTTGCGAGAGCAGAAGGCATCTGCTGACACACCTGTCTTGCACTTGTCTAACCTTGTTCCTGGAAACTACACTTTCAGGTACCTGCACAGATGCTTTCCTTTGGGGCTTTAATTATTTCTGTGATGTCAGCTAAATGTTTGTTTCCCTTTGTGCTCACATCTACCTCCTCAAACAGAAAACTTCATTTTTCTTCTGCATGCTGTTACCCTTCATTTTGCACAGAGGAGAGACTTAGGGAGCAGTTTTATTAAAAAGTGCTTGGCAGTGGTTTTGTGATACCAGCACAGTGATACTTTTTAGCACAAAGTTATGTAAATTAAATACCTCCCACTTTCAGCAATAACAACTGTGACAAAACTCTTTTTATTACTTTTTTCCCCAGCTTAGAAGATAGCTAGTGCCCTGAGATGAAATTATGCAGTCAGGATGTCAAAGTCATCCCCTGAAGGGTGGTGGCAGACAGAATAATATTGGCAGACTGATCCTCACAAGACATTGTTATGTGCTGATATTACTGAGACTCATTCTGTCCTTCATAAAAGCCTTTGCTCTGCTACTGGTTTCCTCTATTTATGCACTGCTGAAGCTGGGTTTTGTTCAGACAATGGAAGCAATGTTTGTGGTTTGGGGTGCTTAATGAAAATCAAAGTCCCTTTTCTGAACTTTTTAACTTAAAACCTAGTTTTCACAGAGGCAGGCAGACTTCCCACTTATGCAGCTTGTGTTCTTTGGCTACCAGTCAATACATTGTATATCAGTGAAACATCAGCAGAATGTCGAAGCCATCATACGTATACTTAAATGTGGTGGTTTGCATAAGCTTCACCAAAGGTTCTATAGCTTCTACTTTCATTCTGTGTTCTTTACTGGAATTATTCCATATTGTACAGTAGCAGAAATTAGTGTGAATTTTTTTCCATATTAAAAAAGAGCTTTCTTGCAAGTAATACTTTTAAGTGTGTTCCAAACCTAAGAAATTAAGAAATTAATTGTTATATCTCTGCACCCTTGAGGGAGGCTGACTAGAGCAGTATGTTCTAGTTGACAAGAAATTAGCTGGTCAATAAAATCCAGCTCTCTTGATATGCATGGATGTGCACCCATTGCAAAAAGTATGTGTTCCCTAATGACAGAACTAATGAGCACTAGTTTTGTTCCCACCCGGGTTCCCTTCCATGTGGTCAGCTGTCTGCAGTTTTCACAACAGAGGAGGATTAGAGATTAGTCAGTTACCGCACTGTGGAGGGCAGGTTTCATCCCCTTCAAGTGTCGGCAACAGTCTCATTTTAAGATGATTTGGTTTTGTGTTTCTGAGAGGCAGTAATGTCTGTATTTTTTTAAACCCTGTACTTTTTTAGTTTTGTGACTTGACATTGATATTAAGCTCTATTAAAGTTAGTAATAGTGTGCCACGAAGAAATAAGAAGTTAGGATCTACTGCTGTGCTATAAGTATAGCTTTTGAAAATCCAAAGCAGTTCTAGTTATAGATGTTGACAGGGACTCTTTCACTATGGCTGATGAATGAAATACCTGGTTTTTACTGAGTACATTTTTAAATTGCAGTGAAGTACATTGCAGTGAAATCTGCTTGAAATTGGTGAAACTGCCATTGACTGCAGGCAGAGGGTTTCATCTGGGATCCAGAATAGCTAGGCTTTTTTTTTTTTCCCAAATGTTGAAAGCTCTGTTTGTAAACAGTTTTCTGAATCTTTCCTATCTTAGTTGAGGAATGAGTGTGTCTGAAGGAGAAGTTTGTATCATCTAATCAGTGTCTCTGGTTTATGTAGTGTTTGAAAAACTACCAGAAAAAATAAGTCTTTGAATTTAGATCTTGGCAGAAGTCCATCTTAACGGATACTGTTTCTCTATTATAGACTCACAGTGATTGATTCAGATGGAGCAGCCAACTCCACCATTGCTTTTCTGACTGTCAACAGACCAGTGGATTACCCACCTATTGCTAATGCAGGACCTAATCAGGCAGTCACCTTGCCCCAGAACTTCATCACGCTAAATGGAAACCAAAGCAGTGACGACCATGAAATTGTCAGCTATGAGTGGTCCCTCAGTCCCAAAAGCAAAGGCAAGGTTGTAGCAATGCAGGTATGTCAATTTCTCCTTGCATAGGATTAGAAAGCTCTTTTATCTTTGCCTCTGACATGAGCAAACACATACCTGAGTAACTGCTCAGAAGCACTGAAATATCTAGAATGACGTTACTCTTTTTTTTGTTGTTGTTGTTGTCCTCTTAGATGTATTCAGCTCTTATTTTAGATACTACTTTTAATTCCTGATCATAATTGTTTTCATTCTGTAGGTCCAACCAAACACTGTTATTTGTTCCCTGGTGGTTTGAAAATACATGAAGTTCACATTGTCTGTTCTTGAACCTGCTTCACAGGTTCCCATCTTCTGAGGTGCTGGGCATACTGAAAACTGGTTAGGAGAGAATGTGGGGGTAGTCAGAGTTTTCTTGCAATGATTTCTCCTGGAGAGAGTAGAACTCAAATGGAAACCTGATCTTCTGAATTGACATGAAAGATGACAAGACCTTTTGGCAGTGTTATGTAGCCATGCTCTGTGATGGGTTTTTATGCTCACTAAAACATGGATTTCCATTGAGGATTTATGGAATTTATTCCCTTATTTTCGTGTCTGGGGTTTTTCTGGTTTTTTTTTTTTTTTTTGGTTTGGTTTGTTGTGGGGTTTTTTAATCTGAGAAAAACTAATAAATTTTTTTAATGGACTTGCACTCAGTAAGTTGGAGATTCTTACAGCTCTGTAGACAGTTGAGATTAATATAATGCAATGAAGCCAACTGAAACTGAGAAACCATTTTTTATGAGAGACATGATTTCTGCTATGTTGGCAAATGCTTTAGGCCTTCAGAACTGGGAAGAGATTACTTTTTAGATCTGTTTAGAAAAGGAATAATATTGATGCAAGCCTATACTGTAGAGACAATTACAGAATTAAGGAAGGACTTGCAGCATTATGGCTTATTTCTGTTCATTCACCAAGAAAAAAAACTTTCCTAAAGCATCTATGGAAGCTGAACTTACAGTTTTTGAGAGCTGTTCAACCTTAAAACGACCTTCCTGAAAGAAGGGAATGACTGCTTCAGATATCCAGTGGATTCATTGGGTATTTAATGTGGAAATGCAAGTGCATGTTACAGTTTCTTTTCAACAGACTAGTAATCTTTTTCATGTGCCTAAAGCTGAGGATCATAGAGTCGTAGAATGGTTTGGGTTGGAAGGGACCTTGAAGATCATCTAGTTCCAAACTTACTGCCATGGACAGGGATACCTTCCACTAGATCAGGTTGCTCAAAACCCCATCCAACCTGGCCTTGAACACTTCCCAGGGATGGGACATCCACAGTTTCTCTGGGCAACCTGTTCCAGTGCTTCACCACACTGAGTAAATAATTTCTTCAAATATCTAAGCTAAGCCTGCCTTCTTTCAGTTTGAAGCCATTCCCTCTTGTCCTGTCACTATCTGCCTATATAAAAAGTCCCTCTCACTCCTTTTTTTAAACCCCCTTTAAGTACTGGAAGGTGCTATAAGGTCTCTTCTCCAGGCTGAACAACCCCAACTCTTCCAGCCTGTTTTCATAGGAGAGGTGCTCCAGCCCCCTGATCTATCTTCATGGCTCTTCTCTGGACCTGTTCCAGAGGATGCTGGTCTCTGATGTGGTGTCCATTGTTAAAATGCTGATTAGTTAATCAAGTCCCTTAGTTCTCATTATCATCTTTGTCCAAAAAACCCCCCAAATGTAATTGCATTGTGATTTGTAATTCCCCATGTGAGAGATGCCACGAATGTTCATTTTATTAGAAAAAAGACCTATAGCTGGGCCCAGTCATTTTATGAGCTTATATAGATATCAGCTAATACTTCTCAAAGAGTAAACTCAGGACAGATTTATCTTGTTTGATATGTTTTTTTCCTCATAAGCCTGTCTTTCTGGGTTCAATTCTGATTTTGCGTTTAACAGTCTTTATAAATATTAACAGATGTCATGATGTTTGTTTTCAAAATATCCCTAAGGAAATGTAATGAGCTATAGGAATTTTCATCAGTGTTTAATTTCCTGATTGAGAATTATTGTTGTTCAGAAATAATGCAATAATTATACCAGCAGGAGAAAGTAGGATTTATTGTCTGTAGTTATTTCTCTGGGTTTGGTAGGGACAGTTGCAATCATGAACACATTACATCCATCTGTGCACCAAATTTTAAGCCTCCTCTTTGTCTGCAAGGTGCTCAAAGTGTTGCTCAAACACCGTATTTATGAATTAAAACATTTTTTTCCCTCACATTTGCTCTGTAAGACCTTTCATTATCCATGAACACTCCTGTTTTATCTCATGCTCTGTCTTCACAAATGCTGTGAAGGGAGTGCGGACGCCGTACCTCCAGTTATCTGCAATGCAGGAAGGAGATTACACGTTTCAGCTGACTGTCACAGACTCTGCGAGGCAGCGGTCCACGGCTGAGGTCACACTCATCGTGCAACCTGGTAAGTCACCTGCAGGCACCTCTGGGGTGGGCCAGCCCAATGCCTTAGCACTATTTTCCAGTGCCTTATGTCCCCACACTGCAGGGATGTCTGCTATCCCTGCATCAAGGACTCTTCCACCTCTGTTTTCTGTCAAAGCAGACAGTTAAAACAAGTGCAGAATTATAAAAGTCCAGGTGGTGATCCTGAGGGCTGACACCAGCCTGATTGTGTAAGGCTACCTGCACAGAGATCTGTTTAAATGCTTCTAAAAGCTAAGTTGTAGGTCTTCGGTTTAATGTCCTACGAAATCTGTTTTGAAAGCTGTTGTGGAGGTTTGACCTCAAAAATATCCAATTTCCAAGCTCCCCCACAATTTGCCTCAATGCAAGAGAGAGAAGGTTTCAGAGAGGCACAACTCAGCATGGGGAAATTATATAAAAATTTATTACTAACACAATAAATATTATAGAAACTAAAAAGCAAATAAATACACAGTACTAATACAATCTCTACCACCCCTCGGGGTCCTCCCACATCAGTTCAGAAGAAAAACCTTCAGGGTGATAGCTAAAGTCTCTCTCATTGGGGTATTGGGGAAGGGGTCTTTTGCACCCCCACCAGCTCCCCGGCTTCTACTGAGGTCTCTTCCTGGACTGCAAAGGAACATTTGCTTTACCAGGTCTTCATCACGAGGTCCAGGGAATCAGCTTTGAGTCCTTTCTCCCTGGTTTGTGAAAGTTTCTCCCAGAGAGTAAGATGTTCACTCTTTCCTCTCCAGGTTGCAGTGTTTCTGGGTCTTGCTCAGTTTTTTATACCCCAAATAGTTTTCACCAAAAGTCCTTACCCAGAAAAAGCCTGCTTGGTTTGGCTTCTCTCTGTTCCAGCTGCTGCATCAGCTCAGCTTCCACATGTCACAGGGAGGCATTCCTCCCTCCCGCATTCCTCCTCTGGTTTTCGGCTACCCCCACCCAAACTTCGTGTAGAGCCTCCTCCGAGCCCCTCAGCCTGTCTCTCATTGCTTCAGTCTCAGCTCAAGGTCGCTATCTCCCCCGTCATTATGGGGGGGGAGAAGGTAGCAGCAAGACTGCGTCAGTCTCCCTCCTCTGCCTGGAATTTTTCCATCTCTGTATGATCGCAGCTGCTTCTCTGGCTCCAAACCACCCCTCGGCCCATCTCTGGCTCAGCTCTAATGCCTCACCTGCCTGCTGGGGTCTGGAGGGCTAGCTCCAACCCCCTGGCTGGCCTCTCAAGTCCACGCCACCGCCTCTCCTGGGCAGTGGGGGAAAAGCCCCCTAGCCTTTGGCCACAGCACCTGGTTCAGTTTCAATACTGTCCTGGGCTCCCCACAGCCCGGCCGGGGGAGGGAGAGGGCCTGACCCCCTGCGAGGGGCCCGCAGGCCTCTCTCCTCTCACCTCATGGCTCTGAATCTCTCTCACACTGCCAAGAACTTCCTCCAGCTGTTGTAATATCGTAATTTCACAGGGGCGAAAAACAGCTCCGATTGGTCCCACATCAGAAACTCACCTGGGACCAACCACTTCCAGCCCCCCTCCCCAGGGGGAGGCTCAAACCACCGCAACTGTTCAGAGTATCGATCAGTGCTTTGCTCAGTTTTCTTATTGTTGTGCAGTTCTTGTGCAAAAGTCCTTGTGTGATTTGAATTCTCACCAGAATTACATTGTGTTTTCTAAGGAAAAGTGTCAAGCAAGGAGTTTTCAAAAGCTGTATCTTTCAAATGCTTGTTTAGTTTTGGGAGCCAAGAGATGAATGAGCCCAAATGGTCCAGGCCTCATGAAATTTATTTTTTTTTAATACCTTTTCTTTTTGTAACATGTTTGCCTACTACATCCAAAGTGTTCTTTTCTGCCAATGTGAAGGTTTCACATTCCACCACGGGGCAATGTTTTATCTTCCTGTTGTTGCTTAATAAATATCTTTTTTGTAGATGATCCCTTCTGGCACAGCTTTACAGTGGGCATTTACTGCAGAAATCAAGAACGTAAATTGGAAGTACAGTGTGTGGTGGTGCCTTTAAGACCTGCTATAGTGTGGAGCTAGAAAGATGCTATTGCTGAAGTCAGGCCTAAGGGCAGATAAATACCCAGGAAAGTGGCAGCATTGCCAGTTTTACCATGCCACAAAAACAGAGGCTGAAAACAGAATAACAGGTTACACGTTTTTGCACTAAATCCTCAAAGGGTCTGAACTGGCATTAAGTTGGTGGTGTCGTGCTGACCTTGAGCAGCAGAAAACACAGGTCAGTATCTTCTTTGAGGGCAGAGAACCAAGTGAGAGGTTTTGAAAGAAATGGAGCAGTAGGACCACGAGAATGCCCCACCACTCCTGTTATGTAGCATTTCATATAATGCATTGAGCATGCAGCAAATTTTTTGGGAGTGTGACTGTGCCTGCAGTGCAAAGGGGAAGTATTTGCTGTGGTATTTGGCTTGTTGCAGAGCTGATCTCTCCTACCTGCTGGCTCGTGTGTGTTATACTTGTGATTTGTGCCTTTAGAGCCAATATATCAATTCTTTAATAAAATATTCTGTGTAAAATCTTCCCTCTGATTGGAAAGGCTTACCAGTGACTACATAGCAAATGTCATACACTAAATATTATTTTGCAGAAAATAACAGTCCTCCAGTAGCAGTGGCTGGCCCTGACAAAGAATTGACCTTCCCAGTAGAAAGTGCTACACTGGATGGAAGCAAAAGCCAAGATGACCAAGGCATTGTCTTCTATCATTGGGAAAATATCAGGTATCTAGAGATTTTACTAATCTCCAATAAAATAGAGAACAAAGTGAAAGTGTTTAGAGTCTCTTGTGCAATTGTGTTGGGTGATGCACTGTTTGGGAATTGCTTTCAGGACCTTCCCACTTGGGTGGTAATAGGGTAAGAAATAGTAATTTTAAGTTCAACTTGAAAAGCTTAGGCAAGCTCTGTGTATGTTTTGCATTGTGTCATTTTGAGGCCTACTTTTATAAAATTAAGAAAAAATTACAGGAATTTCTGTGTCTCCTGTTTAAAAAGAAAGTAGCAGGCTTGGGTACCCCCCTGTAATATACGAAGTTTTCCCATTAGTGCTTAGATGAACAAGAGTTTCTCAGTTTCTTGTTTATTGAATAATAAAGTAAATTGACAGTCACTTTATCCTGAACTTTCAGTAATGATTGACTAAAGCAGTCTTGAGTGATGATTGAAAATGTTCTACAAAAGTTTGTATGTTTATGTGCAAATCTAACCGATCCTTAATAAAAGGACAAGCTATTAGCTCATGCAAGCATCATACCTCATACAGGAAGAGGTCTGCTGGCAGCCAGTACATATTGTGAGTGGCTCTTAGAGCAATATCATCTGCATGCTCCCATGGAATAGTATAGTGGTGAGATTGAACTTTTGGGGTGCATTTTCTACTCTTTTTATAACTGGGTATGTGGTGCTTGCGTGCTTTGAATGCCTCAAAAAAATGCATTTATGCATTCTCTGAACTAAACTAGTGTCTCATGTAGTTCTTTAGCCATCAGTGCTATAAAATAAAAGCAAATGGCATGAGCAGTGCTGCTGAACAAATGGTTTGGCTGGCTATGCAGGATTATTTTTCTGACATGTTTTGTTTCAGTGGACCAAGCTCTGTACAGATGGAAAATGATGACAAAGCGATAGCAACTGTGACTGGTCTTCAAGTTGGTACCTATCGCTTCAGGCTGACTGTGAAAGACCAACAGGGCTTAAGCAGTGCATCTGTGCTGTCTATAACTGTGAAGGAAGGTAAGCCTCGAAGGCAGGGAAGCCTTGTTGCTGTGTCTTAGGATATGGTGGGCAGCTTGCCAGGTAATGCAATTGCTGACAGAGTGTAAAGGAAATCAGAACAGAAAGTTATAATATATTTGTTGTCGTATTTCAAGGGTGTTCAGTAAGACTTGTCTGCTGTTCTGTAATACAGTAGTATTGTAAGTGACTGGCAGAATTAATTTTGTTTGCTGCAAGATATTTTAAAGTTCAATATATGCAAAATTATTTGTAATAAAAATGTTCCAAATTAATATTGTTGACAGTGATATGTTTACATCACTAAGAAGGTACATTTTTATTTTATTTTTGAAGTTAAGCTTTGAGCAGAAAAGCAGTTTTACTGTGGATTTTCAGTAACCTCCAAGAAGCGACATCTCAGTGAACCTATCTCCACTTAAAAATTTAGTATTAAGAGACCTGTTTTTTTGGTTTGTTTTTTTGTTGGTTTTTTTTGGTTTGTTTTTTGTTTCTTGTTTTTTTTTAGAGAGGAAAACAGCTGCTGTGGTGTGGGGTTTCGGTGATTTGGGGTCTTTGTCTGTTTGTTTTGTGTTTTTTTTCCCAACATGCATGCGGTGGAAGAGGCTTTAGGATAATGATAGAATCATAGACTATTTTGGGTTGGAGGGGACCATAAAGATCATCTAGTCCCAACCACCTTGCTGTGGGCTGGGATACCTTCCATGAGACCAGGTTGCTCAAAGCCCTGTTCAGCCTGGCCTTGAACACTTCCAGGGTTGTGCTCACTTCAGCAGTAGCCCCGGATATGGTTGGCTTTCTTGACTGCAAGTGGACATTGCTGGATCATTTTGAACTTCTTGTCAGCCAACACCCCCAAGTCTTTCTCCTCAGAGCTGCTCTCAGTCCATTCTCTGCCCAACTTGCACTTGAGCTTGGGATTGCCCTGACCTTTGTGCCTCTTCAAGAAGAAGCTGGACTTTGTTTTACCCATATGGATCATTGCTTGAACCATTTCAGGGTTTCAGTTAGGTGTTTAATTAGAAATACATGGCAACAGCTCTGCCCAAATGTGTTTTATGGTCTCATTTGTGGTGTGAAGTGTAGCCACAGTATGTTTTGTCTACAGTCACAGGTTCAGTATTAAAAAGACTTAGTTTTCCAATAGCCAAGTTTAGTCAACTGCTTTTATTTGAAAGAGACAAATCCCTTGTGTCACAGAAAACTCTCTGCTGTTCTGAAGAATAGAGTTATAGCCAAGGCCCTTGAGATGTGCCCAATATTGAATTATTTATCTCCAACTAATTATGTCCAGTGAGGTATTTCACTCAGCCCCACAGGTTGCTGGATCTCTCTCTTATCAGTTGTGTTCTAAAGAAAAGTCAGTGATGTCTGGTTTCTGGAAAGAGAGCATGTTTCTGTTTCTCTGGCTATTTTTTTACCATGTGCCCAATGTGTGCCTTAATCTCACTGCTAGTGGTAAGCAGTGAGAACTAGATTTACCCTTAAATTTCCCGATTGCCTAAATACAGGCATTGTGAAGATATAAGTTCTTGCACAAGCTTCTACTGGGTAATAAGTGATTCTCCAGATGGAAATTTCCCAGCATGGTGACCTCATGCTGGGCCTTGTTTCTAAGTAGGTAGAAAATTTTTTTGTTTGACTGAGAAGATCTGATACTTAAGTTATTGTGAGACTCTAAATAGAATATCCCACAATTCTTTTTGAAAAAGATCTTTCTCCTCATGGTGCAGCTCTGCTTTTGTTAGACTGTAATAATTCTGAAGCCAAATTTTGTATACCCACTCATCCTTTCCCTGTAGCTTTAACATGAGGTTGTGTTGTTATTGTCTGTAATTATCAGGTAAAGAATTGGAGTGTGGGTGTATTGGCAATGACAGGTCACATTTCTCATGTTTTGAAAGCAAATCCTTATCCTCCACTATTTTTGTGGCTAGAAAATAACAGTCCACCTCGGGCGCACGCTGGTGGGAAACATGTTCTCGTGCTTCCAAATAACTCTGTTACCTTGGATGGCTCAAGATCTGCTGATGACCAGGGGATTGTGTCATATTTGTGGATTCGGGACGGTCAAAGCCCAGCAGCTGGGGTGAGTTTCTTGAGGGTTGTAATGAGTCAAATTCTGCTTTTGTTATTCATGTAATGTCATTGCAGCCAGGAGAGCAGGTGTGACTCATAAGATACTGTGATGTATGGTGTTCTGGTTTATCTCCCCTGCTCTCTCTAATGCTGTAGTTCAAGGGGGTTGTGATTTTTTCAGTACAGCTAGAGAATATGATAGCTAAGGAAGAGCACTGCAGCAATGTAGACTTAGTTGGGAAAGACTTGAGACAGAAGAATAAAGCTGTGTCTCAGAGTAATTGCTGATAGTATCAAGTTAATGTGTTAGAGAGAAAAATCATCTGAAATCCAGCTGTTCCAGAGGAGTAAGGATCTGAGAGAACAAGAAGTACTGATAAAGACTAAGGGATCATGTCTGATACCAGATGAGGTAAAACTTGCAGTTTAAGATAAAAATGGTATTTGATGCTAGATGTGTAGATACCTTGCTTGGCAGACCATGGTGAGTAGCCTGGGTCATTAGGGCAGAGGAGTCTGCTCTCTGAGAGAGGCAGAAAGCAGAAATACCTCATGATAAACTGAAATTTATATGTCCTACTAAACCTGGGATAACTTGTTTTCCCTATCTCACAAAGTGTTGTGGACAACTCTTTGCACTCAGGAAGATACTGAAAAATCAGCAAGTGCTGAGAGGGGAGAAACAGCAAAATCCAAACAAAGCTTCTAGAGGCAATTCACATGAGTGTGTAAGAATTGAAGAGGCTTAGCTTAAATACAGCTGGCAGAGTTGATAGTTGAAAATACATGAACTCGGAGGAAAGGAAATTAAGAGTTAAGAAAGCAGAACTAAGGATAGTGGTATAAAACAGAGAAATAATAATGTAACTGTCTCGAATTTTCAAGCAAATGAGTTCTTCAGATTGTCAGCTGTTCTTTCTGGGGTATTTTTAATGAAAATATCCATACTGTGCAGACATCCTCATTAACTTTCACTTCCAAACTGTCCTTACTCTGCTATAGACTATGGGTAGGTCACATTTGTCCCGAAAGTCAAAGCAAGAACTCACACTGTCGTTCCGGATAGCCGACTTGATAGTCAAACCTGCAGCTTTCCCTGAGGGTGTAATTATTCCAGTACCTTTTTTCTGCAGGATGTGATCCATGGCTCGGACCACGAGGCAGTACTGCAGCTAACTAATCTGGTGGAAGGAACCTATACTTTCCACTTGAAAGTGACGGATGCTAAAGGAGACTCAGATGTTGATTCAGCAACTGTTGAAGTGCGGCCTGGTATGAGAATTAAAAGGTCATCGATACGTTGTGAATACCACATCTTTGTTCTCCTTTTCACTTATTTATTTAGATGTTGACAAGATTCTCTCAAAGCAAACAGGTCTTTCTCTTCCTACCTTATTGTTCTCTGAATAGGCCTGAGTGTGTTAGAAGTTGGCATGTCAGGATTCTTAACTGCTACAGTCACCTTAGTGGGAGCATCAATAAATGAAAATTATACTTTCTAGTTAATATTTTCATTAGGCTTTTATTCCTCTTCATTCATTGTAGGTTTTTGTTTCTTTTTTTCTGACTGTAATCTGTTTGGCCAGTAGAAAGAGATGGGAGCTAAACATTAAGTCTAGGTACAAATACTGCAGATGTGTGTTTGATGATTGAAAGTGTGGCTTTATGTCTGTTTTTCTTCTTTCCTCCTGAAGGAAAAAAGCAATCCTCAGAGAATGTTAGGGAGACGTAAACTGTCTTTTCATGGTTTGATATTGCTTGTTTTATAGACTTGTTTTCAAATGCAGGATGAATAGCTATATGATGGAAGTTGAAGCTTCAGTTTTCTTGCTTGTCTGACTCCTGGGCAGTGATTTTCTGTTCCTCACTTTATTGTTGAATGTAGTCATAATAATTAGGTCATGATTCTCACTGGATAACTGTGAAGTTTCTCTTCTTTACAAGGCACTCTAGAAGTCCAAGTACTATTTAACAGAACCCTCAGTTTGTAAGGGTAAACATATCTGATATTTCTCAAATTTGCCATTCTCAGACATACAAGTTCATCTTTGGCTCTCTTTTCCTGAGTGATAACCAGTAGTAAATAAGTAGCAGGGAACTCAGTAATTAGAGTCACCTAATGCTTACCTCTGACTTTAAGATGGCAGCATTTAGGGGAGCAGAAGTTGCTATTCTGCACAGAAATATGTAAATGCTGAACTGAAGTGCACCCTGAAGTACTCTTATTTCGATTGATGACATTGGTTTGTTTCAGAGGGAATGTGACAATATAGGCTAAGTACTTTGTTAAGAACATGAAAGAGTTGGCTTTTCAGTGATACAGGTCTTATACAGGAAAATACAGTATTAATAAATACTTTCAAGTACTGCATGTTGTCTTCAGTTGGTACTGAAATTTGCCAGGCTCTGAAAGAATAGTATGTTCTTCTTCTGTCAGATCCCAAAAGGAATGGTCTGGTGGAGCTGATTCTGCAGGTTGGAGTGGGACAGCTGAGTGAACAGCAGAAGGACACTCTGGTGAGACAGCTGGCTGTATTGCTGAATGTTTTGGATTCAGATATCAAAGTTCAGAAGATACAAGCCTACTCAGATATAAGGTACAAAGATATCCTCCTGTACCCGAAAGATTTGTGATTTTCTTTGCCTCTTTCACAGCTCATAATTAGTTGCAAAATAATCTTTTGTAAGATGACAAAAAATGCTGTACTTCTCAACAGAATGTACTTTAAGAGGTGAATGTCTTCTGCGGTAGAAAATCGATGAAATAAGCTCTGTGGAGGTCTAGAACTGAAGTATTTTGTTTTAAAAAAAAATCAGACTTTTTCTCTATAGATTTTTTTATTTTTTCCTTTAGAGAAAGTTCATGGATATATATTTCAGTGTCTTTGTTCCCTAAAGTGCTGCTATTTTTTCAAAATGCTGGACAGAGCAAAACAGAGAGACTTTCTCACAGTGAAGCAAGTATTGTATTTCAAAATAAGGTTCCAACTCTATTTGATCAAACCGTTTTGTTTCTACTTCTTCTCTAAGGTTTTGATATTGTTAATATTTTATAAACATTTTCCCAGGTAACTGGCAATGAAAACCCATTTTTTGCAGAGGAAACTCCACAGTGGGTACTCCTACATGTGGCATTTTACTTTGAAGTAGAAATACCCTCTCTGCCTGCTGTAGAGAGCTAGAGATGGCTGTGCATGCCCACAGAACCCAGCTCATGTTGACATGAGTTACCTTTAAATTCCTTCCTGTTAACTACTTGGTAATTTAAAGCCCATTTTGGTGTTTATTTAGCTCTTGGGGAACCTCTTAAAATTTAAAAACACAGTTTGGAAAATCTACCATTTATGGCTGTGATATTTTTAATAACAGCGTTTTAAATTAAAATGTTCCCTGAAGTGTCTGATACAGGATGAGATCAACACCACCCAACTTGTAAGCTGTGGATGATGGGGGAAGAGGCCTTCCATATGAAATCTCTGTATCCCTTGCTTCTGAGCTTTTTCTCCTATTTAATTTGGTTTCCTAAAGTTAGTGAAATTACTTCAGAGCACTTTATGACAGGTTCTGCATGAGGGTGGAGAAAGCAAATGTATATGTACTTCTTAAAGCAGAAGTCAGGAGGACCAAGAAGGGAATTACATTTGCTGTTGTCCTCACATTTCTTCTGTGAAACTGAGAAGCCAAAGAACTGCTGGTGCTCCAAGCTCAGAATGAAGTCTGTGTCATTTGAATGGAGTTGACTGATCCATGGACAGAATTCCCAAATCTTTATCAGTGGTGACATTTGCTTTCCAGAAACAAACAAAACTAAAGGCTATATATGCCTTTATACTTTTATTACTGAATGCCTGACAAAAGTGATCTTTGACAGCAGTCATGACCTTCTTTCTGCAGCACCGCAGTTGTGTTCTACGTGCAGAACGGGCATCCTTCCACGGTGATCAAGGCATCAGATGTCTCAAGAACTCTGCACCTGCAGCTCTTGAAACAGAAGGCTGACTTCCTGCTCTTTAAAGTCCTGCGAGTTGACACGGCTGGTGTGTTTTGTACCGTGCTTGCTCATCTTGGAACTCTGCATGCATTTGGCTAACACAGTGCCTGGAAACAGTGCATGAAGGCCTTCTGTCTGCCATCTGGTGTCTGGGCTTGGGTGTAGCTTTCCAAAAGATAATATTGAAGACAATACTTAAAATGTTTCATGATTTGTGGAAAACTGGTGCCAATTACTTGTATTCTTTTAAAAGACATCATCTGTGACAGCAGGCAAAAGTACATCTTAATCTGGTCTGCATCAGGAAGGCCTGGAGAATGAGGATAAGGATACCTTACATAACATCTTTTCTTGGAAGATGGGCAAAATTCAATATAGCCATAATATAGATATGTTTCATGTCTCTGGTTCCTTCAGAGCTTATAGTGTTCAGTAAATAGGCTGGTAACCTAACTTGTTCTTGTCTGCAAGTATCAGGCAGAATGATCGGGTGACTGCTGTGTTATAACCTAGTCTTCTAATATTTTCAATATAGATAGGCCACTAGGGTTTCTTATAATGAATTGCTGCTTTTGCCCAAAAAGGATGCGTGACAAGTTGTCCGTTTGCACAAGTGACCCACGTTTGGTTTTGTTTGTAGCCTGTCTTTTGAAATGCTCTGGACACGGGCACTGTGACCCCATAACAAAGCGCTGCATTTGCTACCAGCTGTGGATGGAAAACTTGATACATCGTTATCTAAATGATGGAGAGAGTAATTGTGGTGAGTTTGGTGTTGTGGAATGTATTTTAAGAGTAACTCGTAGTCTTGCGACTGTTGATTATTTGCTCTCAGAATGGGGAAGACTTAGGAGGTAGATGTTGAGGGAGGACTAAAACGGTCTCTGTTTTCCAGCCCAGCAGTACATTTCTGTAGAAAGGTATTTGAATAATTTCCTGAAATTACAATGTCTTGGCAGTAGTAGCCTGTATTTAAAATATTTTAAAAGTTTAAATTTTAAAAAGAATCACTATCTGATGAAAAATATGTGAAAATTTTCTCACAGGAGAGAAATTTTGCAACAATTTGGGGCCAGTTGGAGGGATTGTTTAATAACATGGGCAGTGGAAAGCTTTTGAGTAGGAGTGTTGCAAAACTGTAAAAGAGACAGCAACTTAGATTCTCTGAGTGGGTGGTTGATGCTTCTGTACCAGAAGTGTGATCTGATCTAAGCAAAGAAGACATCAGTGTTCTGGACTGACCAATACTGTCACCTTTAGAACCTCAGTTTCTTAGCATGATTAATTCCACTGTTTCTTTCAGTTTGCCTGTTGCATCTAGGAGATGCAATTTAGGTTCACCAGCATCATCCTGTCCATATTCTATGGCACATCTAATTTATCAGCCTAAATTCTCTATTTCAAAAAACTAATACTTAAATTGAAATTTAATTTGTCTTCTACTTAAGTTGAAATAAAGCTCAACTCTCTAAGTACTGTGCAGGCTTGGAGACATTTGCTGAGCAATGCACTAGTCTTCAAGTAAATCTATAAATGCTTATAAGGAGCTTAGTACAAGCCATTAAGTAACCATGGGCTATGTAGTAAACAAAGACTAATGACAACCCAAAGAGGGTGGTAGGTTTTAAGCCTGAGGCTAGGACCTCCTGTAGCCCTGCTGTGCTATTCCATAGTATAATAATAACACTGAAAATAGTGAACATGTTGGAGTTCACATTATTGCACATCTCTCTGTATCCTTCTCTTTTCCTGGATTTATAAATGTAAGTGTGCAGGTAGAAAGATCTATCTCTATTCAGCTGCTCTTTTAAAGCACTACTGCTCTTTTAAAGCCAGACCTAGAGTACACCTATGTTTATTTCAGTTAGAGAATGATAACTGAGGTGGTAACCATGCCCCTTTGCAGGACTTTCAGTTCTCACATAGACTTCAGAAATCTTGGGACGGTAAAAGGTATTAGAGTGGAAGAAAATTTTCTAACGTGCACTTTCAGTCTTAAAGCTTAAGAGTTTTTAGGAATTCTTCTGAGAATATGAATGTGCTGAGTTTTCCTAACTTCCTGTTGGCACTCCCCATTTCTCAGAATTGGTTATTTTAATAGGGTTTGTATTAGAAATTATTCATCACTTTACAAAGCACTGTTGTGTTTCTTTTTTCAGAGTGGAGTATACTCTATGTGACTGTATCTGTTTTTATTTTGATTGTGGTCATGGTAGGGCTTGCCTGGTTCTGCATCTGCTGCTGCAAGAGGTACATGATTTGTGTTTCTTTTTGATGGGGTATATGCAAGAACTGCCATATTTTAGTCCAGTCCTTAGCACTAAACCACTGAATTCTTTTCAGACATGTGAGGAGCTTCCTGTAGCTGTTTCTGTAGAGACACACTTTTGTTGAAAAAAAGAGTATCCATTTGTGTCTCTGTGCTTCTCTACATTAAAAAACCCAAAAAGCTAATGTTGCAGTATCATTTGTATGAAGTGATAATTATTGTCAAAATGCTGAGAGTATACTACAGATCTTCACAGTCTCCAAGTCCTCCAGGTATTCTATGCAAACAAAAAAGAGGCACACCCTGAAGGTCACTCAGTGATAATGGAATGTTCTAGGCCATGGGAAAGGATCTGCTCCCAGTCTTGTGTTTCCCCTGGACAGGAAGGGTGGGTAGGTGGGCTGCATGTGGCTAACAGGCAAGGAGTACTTCAGCGATCTCAGTTATGCAGACTTCTTGCTTCCTCTTTCCTTAAACAGTTCTATCTACTACTCTGTGTTGTTTCCCTTTCTGTCCTCCCTCCAGTCTTTCGTGGTGAGCTGATAAGAAATTCTCTTTCAAGTGACAGGCCCCTGCAAGTTCTGTCACTAGAGCAAGTGTTTCTGCTGCAGCCCAAACGGCTCAGCAAATAGATAGCTTGTTCAGGTGTTAGTAAAAATGAAATGCTGTCAAAATCTTTCCATATTTTCAACTTTTTGTAGTATATAAAGGATGTGTGGGAGTTGATGCCGATTTGCTTTTTGTGGTTGAAGGAACAGTGCTGTTAGTAGAAAACTTTAGATAGTAAAGTTTGTCCCACTCCACTCCCACAGTGTGGAGCCTCACAGGCTTGTATAGATTTGATGATAAAGGGATTCTTTATTAGTTCAGCTGCTTTTGTCCTTTGTCCTCATGTTGCTTGTGCCAGAGAGTGAGGGCTGGTTGATACAGATCCATGTGAAAAAGGGGAAAGAAATGCTGCACAGGACAGAATGGCAAGAGATTCCCTTTGCTTTGGGGAAACTACAGGGGAAAGTACACTGTAGTCCTAAGATTTGACTGGAGTTTTGGAGGTTTTAAAGACTTTGAGTTGCCAAATGAATTCTATTTTTTTTTTAGAAGACCATAGAGGCCAAGTGGGTGGCTGTTGTTGTAATGTTGGCTGAGCAGTAAAGTGGCTTCACTGTGAACTGTGAGGGCAAATGAATATATGTCTGCCTTGTCTGTAGTAACTATGTTGAAGTTGAACAAACTGAACCCCTGTGGCAAATAAATCTTACTTTCTTCATCTTTGTATATCAGAGAGAAAATAAACTATGCTGTCTTGTCCAGATTGTACAGTTGCTTTATGCAGGTATAAACTGGAACAACTATTTTAAAGTGGAGGTGAGAAAGTACAATGACACTGTGTATATCAGGGTATATAGCTATGTGTATGAAAAGGACCAGATTTATGTGTGTACATGAGAATGACATGTCTTTGTGGTAACTTCCTTTCTAGCAGAAAGAGGACAAAGATAAGAAGGAAAACAAAATATACCATCCTAGATAACATAGATGAGCAGGAGAGAATGGAGCTACGACCCAAATACGGTAAGTGCTATATGGTAAGCTGTGAACTCATCCACCGAGCGTACAGTCAATGTGTCTGAATTGACAGCTGTAGTCAGGAGGAGCCCAGAAGCTGGCCTAAAAGTTTGGAAATGGCAAAGTCAGACAATGGAGTGGCTAGAGAGGAATTCCTTCATTTCTTGTATGAAGCCTTGGGCTCAGCCACTGCTCTGAGCTTCTTAGTTAATCTTAATTTAGAACATTTTATTGTCCCACAGACATTCTCTATGTAACCTTTTCTCCTCTGCACATGCTTTAATTTGGAGCTGTTTTTATTGCTGCCCAGCAGTTCCTTCCTGACCTATAAGTGCCCTGTTAAACCTCAGTAGACTTCAGCTGCTGTTTACATATATTTTGATTTCCTTAAATTCCAGTTTTTAGCAGGGGAAGTGTTGGAATCCAAGAAATTAGAATCATCCTGAGAAATTGCTTTCCTAGAAAGACAGAGATAACATTTCTGTAGAAACCATGACCTTTCATTCCCACTTGTGTTAATAAGACACTTGAGTAGACAGACCAATTTCCAGATTTAAGCTATTAAAAGTACATTAGGTATGTACTAAGATAATCTAATTGTTTCAAATTTAAATGCATATATTCAGATTTCAGAGCCATAAACTGATAGGCCTGTAGTGAAGTCGGAAGAGTATCTGCCCGACAGTATGTGATAGTTCTTAGGCCAGTTCTTATATTGGTAGTGGCAGTGGTGCATGCTGTTACATTACACTGCAGAGAAGGTTTTCACTTACTTTTCATATCACAGCAGGGACAGTGGTGGTTAGTTATTACTAAAAAGTCAAATCTTTCTAATGAGTTTGTTTTGCTTTTTTATTGTCAGGTATAAAACACAGAAGTACAGAGCACAACTCCAGTCTGATGGTCTCCGAGTCAGAGTTTGACAGTGATCAGGACACTATCTTCAGCAGAGAAAAGATTGAAAGAGAGAATCCTAGAACACTTATGAATGGATCCATCAGAAATGGAGTTTCCTTCAACTACAGCTCCAAAGACAGATAACTGAATGAGGGTAAAAGCACAGAACATGCTGGTGCGACACATCTGAAACATGTTGGCTCACCTCTGTTTTTTCTAGAACCAAAAGCTTCCTAAATTATCAATTAATTGCAGATGAAAGGGTAAATTTTTAACACAGGTAGAGGAAGGAAGAATGAAGGAAGAAAGATTAGATGGTCCACTAACTCTTCTTGTCACCATTATAGGAACAAGGAAAAGCACATCTTATTTTTTCCATGTTCCATGCTGAATGTTTGTCTGAACTTCTGAAGACCCTTTTTTCTATGTCACTGCTACAAAATTAGCCGGGGCTGTTGTGCTACAGACTGTGATAACTAACAATGGCATATGGATTCATGTCCTGTGCTCCTAGCACTCTCTTGGAGAAGCAGTGTGGTTTATAACAGCAAAAGCCAATATAGATAAATTCCATTACAACTATAGAGAGTAATATGTGGCCACAGACTCCATCTTAATTTTCAGTTCAGGATGGAAACACAGAGCATTTTTAGTGCATTGTGTTTATCTTACTGCGCTTTGTGAATTCTTTTTCTAGGGTGGAAATTCTTTTCTAGGGAATTCTTTTTCATGAGGTGGAAATGTCTTTGTTTTGTTTTCAGAGAAAGTTTTCCCCTGTATTTTCATAGGAGGTATGATGTCTACAGGAAAGTCCAGCCTTAGGCTGATTCTGTAATGATGAAAGTGCTTTATCTATGCCGTGTCCATCCAGGAAACTGTAGCGCCTTCAGAAGCATTTTAAGCATCTCAAGCAACCTTTTGCTTAGACATCATTTTTGAGGAGCTCTGAACCTTCTAAGACTAAACACTCAGCCGAGATGAGTTTTCATCTGTCAGCCTTAGTGCTCAGTTAAAGAACGTGCCAGGCACTTGTGTAGTGAAATGCTTCTGGCAAATACCATGTGTGAAGCAGGAGGTTCAACACTTACCTTCATTGTCATGGGAATTGGTATTGAACAAGGTTTTAGCTTGAACATTGAACTGTTTTACTTCTTCCTCTGTGGCTGTTCAGTGACTGGATGTGTTGACCTAAAGAGATCCTTTCAGGTTTTTGGCAAGGGTAGGTGTATTGAAGTTCTTAAAATCCTGTTCACAGTCTGGATAATTTCTTCACAGCCTGCTTGTTAGGCTTTAAAATCATGCCCCCACAATACTGTCCTTGAAATCCCAAACGGAAGACCTGGCTTTTATACATAAGCCTCACTTGGTGGGGACATCTGTGTCCGTGGTACTATTTAGCCATGACGTCAGCTTTTCCTGGGGGTACTCTACTGATGTGCTGGAGTCTTGGGCTGAGATGGAGGAATGATGTTTCGATGGAGAAAACATTCCTCTGGGAGCATTTTGGAGAGAGTTTTTTTGGTTTTAGTCCAGAAGTAGAGAACCCAATATTGGAGAAGGATGGAGCAGTATAGAGATCAAGGGGAGCAGCATAGAAGGCTCAGGGAGGGTATATAGCCCATCTCCATCATGAAGAATAATTTAGTGGAGAATTTTAGGGCTTTCTCCATCTCTTCTTAGAAGTCTGAGAGACCAGAGTAGCTGAGTTGAACACTGGGGCTTCTGTGTTTCTCTTGTTAATGGAGTTGGGCAACTAGGTTGGAAGGAATCAGTAGTCAAAAGTTGCAGCAACACGGCATGCTCATACTTGTTTCATACCTTTGATTCTCAAATGCAGCCAACAAGAGTCCATAAGGCTACTAATACAGCACTGAGGAATATTTATCCTGTGCCCAGCCCTGCATTTCTCTGAAGAGCTTTGTGTGGCTGCGGGAGTCATCGTGGAGGGAGAGGCTGTGAAGAGCTAAAAAGGGCTAGTGCAGGTGTTGTCTATGTTTTTCCCATACCCACCAGCAAGGTACAGTATAAATGGTATGATTTGCTTTCTTCAGAAACCAAGTTTCAACTCTTGTGTATGGGGGGTTTAGCATATTTATTGAAACAAATCTACTTTATCACACTCTCCCCCTTCTTGAGAGTGTGTGTGTATATGTATATATATTTTTAAATAACTTGGTCAATAAAAGCAAGGTCAGCTTCTGATGTCTTTCAGTTTCTGCTCCAGATGTGTTAACGTAATAATGCAGTGTTTACTTTAAAGTATTCCTGAATAAAGTTAAGGCCCATTCAAAATACTGATTTTTTTTTTCATTTGAAATTCAAATGTTGGGCTTAATCCATTCTGCACAACTTCCCAGAATGGTCCAGCAGGAATCATGCTCATGGACACATGCATTTTTAAACAAGCAAATAAGTTGCTTAAGCAATTTCAACTTTGTATTTGCCATGCTGCCATTAATGCTTCTGCTAAATACTCTCTCCAGTGTGCCTTTATCTATAAACTTACCTTTTAGGACATGGTGGTGCAGTCAGCAGCATCCATCAGTTTTGTAAGATCAGTCACTTTATATGTTTTGGGTTTATTTTATGTTTAAAGCCAGTGCAAAAGGCTAGGAGGTTGTTCTTTCAAGGAATTAAAATTTAGACATCTTTTTATGAAAAATAAAAAACAAAACAAAACAAAAAACCCAACCAAACAAAAAAAACTGAAACCCAACCAACCAAACAAAAAAAACCAACCAAACAAAAACCCCAAAACAAAAACCCAAACGAAACCCCAAAACTAAAGGTTGATTCTCTAGTAAAACAAGTACAGGAATCAGGTTTTTCTTGTTCTGTGTGTAAGCATACATTGTCAACTCTGTCCTTTTAGGTAAACAGTCTTCTCTCCCTCTGTCAGATGCATCACATATAAGTAGTGTTCAGGCATCTGTTTTGTGCTGACAGCTGTTTGCTTATAGGGTATCAATTTTGCTTTTCTTGGTCTCTGTGGGCAAACAGAAGTGTGCACACATAAAAGGAACTTAACAGTGTGTGAACTTAACAGAGAGAGAGTGAGTGGGTGCATGTGTTCTCTGTGCTGGATGCACACTTTCCTTAAATATTCTGATGTTCTTGAAATAACTGAGTTTAGGCAAATGTCCTGTTTCTGCTTTTAGCTTTAAGTGAAACCCCCAGTATACTGATAATGGGCAGTAGTCAGATGGAGCTTTGGGATGGTGGTAATAAAATGACATTTAGTGTAGTCTTCTGCCATTTATTTGAGGTTTGAGAGAGGTAAACATTCCTCTAGAAGAAGGAAAATGGGATAGAGAGGTGAATTTGTTTCTTAATATCAGTTATTGCTTATCATTGATCCTATCTAGAATATTAATCCCATATTTCTGCATCAAAGAAAAACCCATTTCACGTTCCTTTTATATCCTGAACTCCCCAAGGCAAAGGAGAGAAATAAAAAGTTTAGAATTAAATTTTAAAAAGGAGGCAGCAAAGGCAAATAATTCTTGCACAGGCTATGAATCAAGTGCAGATGAGCTGCAAATTTGTAGTTTGTCTCTGTATGGAAGCACTTCTCCCTGTGGGTGGATGGGTGAGTTATTACAGAACTTATATTAGGAACCTGTTTCTAGAAAATGTTATTTATTGCAATTGCTATTGTATTGTAACTGGAACTGTTTCCAAGCTGAAATTGCTACATTTATGTAACTAATAAATTTTTGTCTTTCCTTTTAGGAATTTGTCAGGTACTCTTTTAGGCATGGTGTACTGTATTGGACTCAACACTCAGGTCAGGCTAATAGACATACGTTGTATACCATAGCTTATGTCTGTACTCAAACATAAAAGTAGTGCAATAGCTGATCCCTTCCTTTCCTACTGACAGAAGCATCTTCTTCAACAGAGGTGCCATAATTCAGTACATCAGAGAGCAGGAAAAAAAATAATTTACTGCAGTTCACAGTAGGTTTTCTTGTGGTGCTTGTCCTTACTTGGTTTAATTGGCTGCGTGTAAATAATCACCAGCTGTCATACCGAGTGTGGTAATTTCACAAGTTTTGTGGCTTACTCTATAACAAATCCAGTATCTGAGAGCGTTTGTCAGTACAATGGCTGCTTTGCAGTAATCAGTGTGCAATATAAACCAAAATACTGTGTTAGATAGAGGCAGGTTTTGCTGCCTGTTTCTGAACTTCAAAAGAAAAAGTCCTTGCATCAGTGTGTGTGAAGTTTGTGCTAATTTGTGATAATAAAAGGTACTATGAGATACAAGTGTCTTTCTCTAAGGAAAAATCATACCCCATAAAAGCTACACTTTTAAGTGTATTTGGATACATAGTGCCGCAGTCTACATGGCACCTCATACATTCATACTGGACTCCTGCAAGGGCATACTGGCTGCTGAATGAGCTGATGAGATACATAAATGTCCTGTACTGAGGAATGGAATCTGCCCCTTTGTTATTGCACTGTACATTTGGTAACAGCAGTAGCCTGCCTCCATCCCTTTGAGTAGCCTGGTGCAACAGAATATCAGCAGCAGTGATTCCTAAACAACTTCAGCCAGTTGTGCAAAGTAGCTTGAGCACTCACTGATAAAAGCGAATATGCCACCAACTTCTTGTGGTTGTTCCTGGAAGGTCCTAAGCAGGGAGTCTTGACACAGAAAAACTTAAAACAAGTGCTAAAATGTAACATAGAGCTTCTGAACACACTACCTAAATCTTCTTTAAGTGAGCTAAGTTGCTAATATCTAGCAGAACAGGTAAGCACAGCTTCTGGAGAGTTTATAACACAGAGAAGACAGGCAGCGGGGGTGGGGTGGGGGTGTCAAACAACAGCTATTTAAAGAATAACGTAAGAAAATAAAATGGAAATTGGCCATGACTAAATCAGGTTGGAAATTAAGACAGTTTCTGAGGCTTCAAAACTGTATTAACTAAATGAAAATAAAAGAGCTTCTAAAACTCTGTTTTAAGTCTTAATAAATGAGGTAAAGAATTATGCAATTAATCACATCATGAAAGCAGGGAAGACACTGATATACAAAACCTCTGTGTTGTGATAAAATGTTTGATTCAGCATAAAAGACTTGCGTACAAAATGACTTACAGCATATTACTATGTCAAAGTAGTCTCACCTATTTGATTTAGATTCAAGAGACTCTAATTGAGGGTACACATTATGGACATGTAAAGGCAAAGAAGTGTCATCTTTTCCAGTGATGAAGCTGGCAGAACAAAATATTCTATGGAAATCTGAGAGACTGACCTTTATGTGGCTGCTGTCAGATTGTCAATTCAACATTGAATGAAGTGAAGTAAGTCACAAAATCCAGTGCTTTCACAGAAGTTATTTATTAACTAAAAACATTTTTAACCACAGTTTTAATATCCAGAAATTGCTAAACTATCACAAGTGCAATCGACATAACTGAGGTGTGAGAATTCAAGTAAGTCTTTTGTTGAAGAATCACAGTTTTTGTTATGAAGACAACTTTGATTATTCTGTGCTTAACTGATGTAGACCTTACTGACACAAGGATACTATGCTGGAATCCAACCACAATCCAATCTAGACAAAAGTATTTTTAAAGTTTATTACATACCTTATCTTTATTTATGGTTTGTGCTTGCTATCAGGCATAGTAAAAGGTATTATTTGCTAGAAAAAAAGGTAAACATTTACTCATTAA